AGAGACAGGAGTGGGGGGCAGAACAGGTAGATGGCCTGAAGTACACTGCTAAGAGGAGCAGTGGGCAGGCCAGGAGAGGTCCCTCGTGCAATGTGGTCCCCCCACCCCCGACCGGGGTGTGCTGCAGTGGCTGTGGACAGCCTCCTAGTGCTGTGTTCCAGTCCACTGTGCCACCAGGGAGGGCTCTGTTCCTGGAATATTAAGAAGTTTGCACAAATTCAAGTTGCCTTTAATGTCAAGGGCCATTTGTGGCAAAAAGACAAAGGGCTGGAGGACCCTTCAGCTAGTCGCAGGGTACATTGTTAATACATATACTCAAGCCACAGACAGGCCCACAGACTTCACACCATCGCTACCACACAGCACCCCCCACACACACCCCACTGTACACATAAATGCACAGGGTTGAGGGCCCAACAGGGCAAGTCTAGTTTCTGACTTCTGGGGACCTGAGCTGTCCGCTGAGGGCTAGAGCCAGAAGGAGGGGTGGGGGCTAGGGGTGGGGTCACATGGGAGCTGTGCCCCAAACCTAGACCTGACCCCTGAAGCCAGGCCAGACCCCATCCACTGGGCAGGTAAACCAATAGCTGATGCTCCAATCTGGCAGGAGAACATCCTCCAGAAGGTGGTGATGACGGCCTTCGCCGACCGCACTGTGGTCACCATCGCGGTAAGGGGCCCGTGAACGTGGTGGGGGGACACCCTGAGAGCAGTCTGGCCTCCTGATGTTGTCATCAGTTCTAGCTCCTCAGCACATCTGCTCTGGAGCAGTGCAAGGCAAGGGGTCTGGAGGGCTTGCAGGGAGGCTGGATTTCAGGATTTGGGGTGTGGGGGCTTTGTACCTACACCTTAGACCTCTCCTCTCATTCTGCAGTTTCCATGGTCTGCCCCATCCCAAAGTCCCCTGAGCTAGGATAAGGGTGTTTCTCCATAGGAAGTAGGGGATGGGGAGCAGGAGAGGCTGAGTCCTGAAGCCTGGAGGTGAGGGCAGGGCTGAGATGGGTTAAGGGGAGAGGGTGACATTAGGGGATGGAGGTCTTGGAGTCACACCCACTCAGGGAAGGTGGATCCCCTTCCCAGAGATAGGATGTGTTGGCCACATGCCCCTCCTCCAGGTTTCAGTAGGGTGCTTTCAGCTGCGCCCCTCTTCTCCCACCCTGAACGTGCCTCCTTCTGCGCCCCCAGCACCGCGTGCACACCATCCTGAGTGCCGACCTGGTGATTGTCCTGAAGCGTGGTGCCATCCTGGAGTTTGACAAGCCAGAGAAGCTACTCAGCCGCAAGGACAGCGTCTTCGCCTCCTTCGTTCGTGCAGACAAGTGACCAGCCAGTACCCAAGTGCCAGTCCATGCCCCACCCCCCCAATCCCCACCTGGGTTTTCTAACTGTAAATCACTTGTAAATAAAGAGATTGATTGTTTCCTATCAGAGGCCTGGAGTCCGGCGGTCAGGGCAGAGTGGACTGTGGGGCCTGTGGAGCAGGCCAGACCTGGGCGTCAGGCAGAACTGACCAAGTCATGTGAGCGCGGGCAGGAGTGCTTCCTCATCTGTGGAGAGGGCTGCAGTAGCAGGGCTGCCATAATAAAGTGTCACAAACTGGGTGACTTGAACAACAGAATTTCTCTCTCATGGTCTGGAGGCTGAAATTCCAAGATCAGAATGTTACAGGCTTGGTTTCTCCTAAGACCATGCTCCTTGCTTGCAGGCAGCCGCCCTGTGGCTGTGTCCCCACGTGGCCTTTTCTGTGGCTCATGTATCCCTGTGTCTCTCGTTATCAGGGTGCCAGTCCTACTGGGTTAGGGCCCCACTCCTATCACCGCCTTTAACCTAGGGCCTTTCATGGGGCTTGTCTCCAAATATAGTCTTGCATTAGGGAGAAAAGGTTCTTAGCACATGATTTACGTCTTCCACATATATGAATTCAGTGCATAAACAAATGACAGCAGCTTTATAATTATATCATCAAGTAAGACAGCAGATCTACATAAAACCTGGCCCCCTTTCTTCTCACTTTAATTCTTAGATTAGAATTGTGGGAGCTTAGATGGCCGAGGTAAAAACTATTTCCATTACAAATCACAGGGCCCAACCACAGTTGCTTGCACAAAAACTGAGGTTGTCACATGTGACTAAGAAGGTCAGGAGGTACCTTTTTGCAAGCCCGGATGCAATTGTTTGACATCAAGAGGTATCTCTGTTTCTGGGGTCGTCCATCTTCCTCTCCTTCCCCAGTGACAGGATGGCAGGTGGCCATGAGCACTTTCAGTTTATATACTACTCCCTGGAGGGAAAGATGTTCTTTCCCAATAATTCCAGCAAAAATCTTGGGAATAAATCTAAATGGACCGACTTGCACGACATCTTCAACCTAGCTAATCACCGGCTGGTGGACTTGAATACACTGACTGGTGGACTTGAATACATTGACTGGTTAGACCTGGGTGACATGTTCTAGCTCCATCCTCCAAGAGGGGACATTCAGAAGTGGGAGAAGGGTGGTCCTTCTCAGGGACAGCACAATGCACGTAGCACAAGTTAAGCAGGTGATGGCTGGGAGATAGTGGAGCCCACACACAGGAGACACCAAAACAACAGCTGTTCTTAGAGTCCATCTGCTTTGTGAAATGGGAATATACACCTGTTGTAGCCCAGACATGCTTGGCAGGAGCCCACGTACGTATTGTTTTATTATCATTGGCATGTTGCCTTCAGTACTGTTTCAAGCTCTGGGATGCAGACCCAGCAGACTTGCTTTATTGTAAGGGGGTCAGAACCATAATATATAAGGAAAACCCACTAGTCATTGGACCCAGCACAGACCTTTCTGGATGCTCCAGAGCAGAGGAGCTCAGGAAGACAGATGCCTGGCAGGCTGTGTAAGAGAAGCAGTGCTTGAGTTGGGCATTGGCAGAATAGGAACTGAACAGGCAGGATTAGAGGAAAAGGACCCATGACGGAGAGAAGGGGGAAGGCACGAGACTAGAGATTCTTGAATGCCAGGATGAGGAGTTTGGGACAAGCCTATGACCAACAGGGAAGTGGAGGGTTTTTTCAGTGAGAAAGGGACTTGAAAAGTACACGGTTCAGGGGAGATGAGGTGCAGGATGGAAGAGCACAGGAGGCTGAGTTCTTTGGTTAGGGGACTCGTCCTGGAAAGGGCACCGCTGTGAACAGCTGAGACTCAGGACCACAGTGAGAGGCAGGGCCTAGTCTTTCCAGCTGAGATGCCTCTTGGGGCCCAGCAGCTCCCAACCTGATGAGCCTAGAGAAGCAGAACCTGGGAAAGAAAAGGGGATTCTCATCCCTTCATGCCCACCACCTTCCAAGGGGAGCAGGGCAGGACCCACATTAAGTTAAGTCTTACAGGGAGGCCAAAGGTCATCCTAGTCCAAACCCTCTATAGCACCCCTGATGCCAACCTCAACTTGGATAGCCCCTCAGATGTGGGTCATCTCTGGTTATTAGATCTGAGTTTTATATATGTGATCTCAAAGCCTGCCGCTGTCCACTCAGTGTCCTGGATCTACACATTGGAGTACATAAAAGTAATCCATCTTTCGAGCCCTCCCTGGTGGTGCAACAGGTTAAAACGCAGCACAGCAAGCTGGCAGCAGCTGCTTCGGTGTGAGTTTGATCCCCACCCTGGAGGTGACCCACATGGGGCAGACCTCTCCTGTCTCTCCCGCTGCTCCTCAGCAGTGTACTTGGTCAGTCGGCCTGTTCTGCTCCCCACTCTGTCTCTGGTGACTCCTCTCACCCACCACACCCCTGGCCTGTACCCCAGTTCTGTGAGTTTGGGCACCAGAGAGGGTTTGGGGTCATTACTTCCCAACCACAGAGACCTAGCATGTTTACTTTCCCAGCTAAGAGCTGGGAGTCCCTAAGGCAACCTTAAGTTGACAGTTGCATAGAAACACCACTCAACTTGGGAGTCCAGAGTTTGGGTTTCCCTAGTGTCTATGCCTGCCTGACTACAGCCATCAGATCCAGGCGCCTCCCATTACTTCAGGTAGAAGAAACCCAGAGGAGAAAAGCAGGAGCCAGTAGCTCAAGCTGTCTTTAAAATACCAAGTGGGGGTTCTCTCTGGTGGCATAACTGGTAAAAGCACCACTTTATGAAGCTCTCGAAGCCACTGCACGCAGCACGAGTTCATCCCCCACCAGGGAGCTGACCCACATAGTGCGGCAGACCCCTCCTGCCTGCTGCTCCCCTCAGCAGTGTACTTCGTCCATCTGCCTTTTCTGCTCCCCACTCTGTCTCTGGTGAATCCTCTCACCCACCACTCCTCTGGTATGCATGAATAAGTAATTCTTAAAAAAAAAAAAAACCCAAGTGGGACTGGAGGGGACAGTGTCATAACTGAGAAGATGCAACTGTGCAGGTTGCTGGGCCCACCACCCCCTGTAGTGAGTGTTAGCATTCCTAAACCTACTAATGTACTTCCCCAGCCCCACCCCGACACTCCCTCACCCGCCTCCAGGGAAAGAGTCTTGACTTTCACCAGGTTCCCAAAGTACCCGTGACTCAGAAGAGATTAAGGGCTTTCCCAAAGAGGAAGGGTAGTTTGAGAACTCCTCCAGCTACCTGCTCTGCCCAGGTCACCCGGCTGATGGCTCAGCCCTTCATTGTCTTCTTTCCCTGGCACCTGCAAAGCCCAGCTCCGCAGAGAGGCGGATATTCACCTAAGGGAGGATGGTGGACGATGGGGGTGGGGGAGAGGGAAGGAACGAGAGGCGATCCCCAGGCTGCACGAGCGAGTCACGATTCCCTTCACTTCCCACCCCAATTTCATACAACGTGGGCGGCAAGAACCTCTTTATGTCCATCGGTTTGGGCAAACTCCCAAGGCCAGACTGTGAGTCCTAAGAAGGAAAGCTGGGGTGGTGAATGACGACGGGCGGGGCTTGCGGCTCAGCCCGCCCCGCCTCCAGCTCTGGAACAGGTCGGGCTCCCCCTGGTGGCCCCGGATCCCACTCCACTCCTGCACCCCCACCCCGCGCCCTCAATCCTCTACCCCCACCTAGCCCAAGTCGCTCTCCGCTGACCAACTATCAGATGCACGGACAGAAGGACCGCCCGGAGGCAGGAGGGGGCGGGGAGGCGACGGCTGCGGCTTGAGGAGCAGTAGCAGGTGCCGCGGGGACGCGCGGGCGGGGTCGGGCGCTGGCGAGCGTACGGCCGGCGGGGAGCCGGGAGGCCGCCGCTCGGAGAGAGCCCCGCCAGGTCGCGCCGAGGGCGAGGGGATCCGCAGTTGAGCCGGGTGGGGCAGTGAGTGGCTGGAGGGCGCAGAGTACCCTGGAGACTGAGAGGACCAGAGCTGGAGGGGGATCCGAAGAGCCGCCAGAGCGCTACCAGGGGTGTAGGGTAGGAAAGAGGGGGGCATACTTGGAGATGAGACAAGGGGTGGTCAGAATATGAAACTGGAACTTGAAGGCTGTCGGGGGGCAGAAATGGGTGAGGCGGGGGTTGTGTGAGGTGTGGTCAGTTGGTAAAATCCAGAGGTGTGACCTTCCTAGATGGGAGAGGTGGGTTAAGAAAGAAGGCTGGGTAGGGTAAAGGGATCGTAGGGGGAAGCCAAGTGCTCAGGAGTGAAGGAGACTTGAGGTGGGATCCAGGGTCAGGGGGGCAACAGGCAGGGTGGGAAGGGGCCGCACTAGGCATGGACAGATGGGCCCAGGTGTGAGGCAGGCATAAAGATCTGAGCAAGGGCCAGGCCGGGAGGTGAGGATGGTTGGGAGGCATCTGAGAAGTGAGACCAGCACAGACTGAGAGTGGTACCAGAGTAGAAGGGTGTCCAGGGAGGGACCCCACAGTGAGTCTCTAGGTTCAGGGAGGGGTGCCCCCCATGGGGGAAGCCTCTCCCTGCTGGTCGCTGGAGCCATGCTGTCCCGAAAGGGCATCATTCCCGAGGAGTATGTGCTAACGCGGCTGGCAGAGGACCCTGCCGAACCCCGATATCGCGCCCGTGAGCGGAGAGCCCGCTTTGTGTCCAAGAACGGTAACTGCAACGTCGCGCACAAGAACATCCGGGAACAGGGCCGCTTCCTGCAGGACGTGTTCACCACGCTGGTGGACCTCAAATGGCCTCACACGCTGCTTATCTTCACCATGTCCTTCCTGTGCAGCTGGCTGCTCTTCGCCATGGTCTGGTGGCTCATCGCCTTCGCCCACGGAGACCTGGCCTCCAACGAGGGCGCGGAGGTGGCCTGCGTCACCAACATCCACTCTTTTTCTTCTGCCTTCCTTTTCTCCATTGAGGTCCAGGTGACCATTGGTTTCGGTGGGCGCATGGTGACTGAGGAGTGTCCACTGGCCATCCTGATCCTCATTGTGCAGAACATCGTGGGACTCATGATCAACGCCATCATGCTGGGCTGCATCTTCATGAAGACTGCGCAGGCCCACCGGCGGGCGGAGACGCTCATCTTCAGCAAGCACGCAGTCATCACCTTGCGCCATGGCCGCCTCTGCTTTATGCTCCGGGTGGGAGACCTCCGCAAGAGCATGATCATCAGCGCCACCATCCACATGCAAGTGGTGCGCAAGACCACCAGCCCCGAGGGCGAGGTGGTGCCCCTTCACCAGGTGGACATTCCCATGGAAAATGGCGTGGGCGGCAACAGCATCTTCCTGGTGGCACCTCTCATCATCTACCACGTCATTGATGCCAACAGCCCGCTCTATGACTTGGCACCCAGCGACCTGCACCATCATCAGGACCTGGAGATCATCGTCATCCTGGAAGGTGTGGTGGAAACCACGGGCATCACCACCCAAGCCCGAACATCCTATCTGGCAGATGAGATCCTATGGGGCCAGCGCTTTGTACCCATTGTGGCAGAGGAGGACGGCCGCTATTCCGTGGACTACTCCAAGTTTGGCAACACCGTCAAAGTGCCCACACCACTTTGCACCGCCCGCCAACTTGATGAGGACCGCAGCCTGCTGGATGCCCTGACCCTGGCTTCAGCTCGCGGCCCCCTGCGCAAGCGCAGTGTGGCCGTAGCCAAAGCCAGGCCCAAGTTTAGCATCTCTCCAGAGTCCCTGTCCTGAGCCACAGTCTTGCCCCCTCCTCTGCATGTATGCACATGGGCAGTGTGGTACGGTATGTAGAGTGAACCTTCTGTGGGCCCCTTAGCCAGGCCAGGCCCTGGTGTGAGGCTGGGCCTCCTCAGCCCAGTCTCCCCCACTACTGCTCGCCCAGGGTGTTACAAGGCACTTGTCACTACGCTATTTCTGTCCTCAACAGGAGCCTGTTCTGGGTTATTTTTGTCCCTGCTCCTCCCAATCCCAGCAGAACTGGCTCATCCCTCTCCTGCTTTCCCAGGCTAGAGGAAGGTGTCCGGCTCTGAAGCTGGGTCTCCAGCTCCTCCCGGGCCTCTGTAATCAGTCGGCAGAGGCTGGACAGGTGGCTGGGGAAGAACAGTCCTCAGAGTGGTGGCTTGCTGCTATATTTCCGTGGCCTGAAGAGATGCCTGAGATCATGCCCCAGAGCACCTTGCTATCAGAAAAAGTGATGGGCTAAATGGCTGTCCAGCCATCTGGGGAGAGCCGTCAGTGAGGGCGCACATTTCAACTGGAAAATTGGAGGTGTGGCACCCACAGGAACAGGCTGAGGCTGGAAGGGCTACCCTCCGAAGGCAGGCTCAGGCCAGGATGGAATGGCGTGAGGAGACTCAGCTTGACTGGACACTGCTCAACCACAGGAAAGTGGGGATGGGCCCTGTGTCGGGGCCCTGACACTTTCCCCGATACCAAAGCTTCGGGGTGAGGGCTTCGTGGACTGTGGCTGCTGTAACTGCCTGTTCCAAGCTGTCCGCCGGTGTCTGGGGTGTGCTGGGGCAGACACTGGCATGCCAAGCAGAAAGAGGCTTAGGAAAGGGGATCCTGGGCCCACCACAGCTCCTCACCAGTGGCTGCCACTCACTCTGCCCAGAGGGCTGTCCTGGAAGATCATTGGGTTTCTAGAAGGGACCTTGGAAAGTTCAGATGGGGGTGACTGAGGTCCCTGAGGTAGAGGCCCTTTGTCCTGACAGACGACCCCAGGCCTGGACTCTTGGAGCAGTGCTATGTGTACTTGCCCAGAATTCTGCCTTCTCTGTTGTCAATAAAGCCCCCTTCGTGACCTAACCTCTGGGCTGTTCTTGCTGGGGGAGACAGGGAGGGTGCTGGTGAACAGTGAGAGCAGGACCCAAAGGTGCCCTGGGCCGTAGCAGGGAGGCCAGGAAAGGAGTTTGGGGTTGGTCCTCTGCCCAATTCAGGAAAATTTTCCCTTTCTGTGTCAGATAGTCCAACCCTGCCGGTCTCTGGACATCTCACTCTTCGGACGCCCACCAGGGCTTACAGCCTGGGCCTGCCTTCATTCCCAGAGATCTGCTGGAAGGCTGGGATGCTCAGGGAGAGAGGAAGGGAAGTCCTATGCATTTGTGTATTGGTGGCATGTAAGCTCTCATGCCAACTGCCTGAGTTCAAATTCTGGTTCTACTCTAAGGTCTCTCTGTGCCTCAGTTGCCTCATCTATATAAAATGGGGATATTCATAGCACCTACCTCATAGAATTGTCGTGGGAGTACCTGGAAAACATGTAAAATGCTTAAGTGCCTGATACATGATAAGTGCTCAATAAATATTAACTATTGTGATTGCTGTTGAATCAGACATGATGAGACAACTGATCAAATGAATGATATGAGAGAAGATGCTGTTGTATTTCCCCAGGGATGCCTTTCTTTGCCTGGTCATGTTTCCTACCCCGATGCTCAGGTCCTGATGACAGGGGCTTTGCAACACCTATTATCTGGTCTTCTGTCCCCCTCTCTCCTCCCTGAAGTCCATCTGCTATGGAATCACCACAGTAGTCTTACTAGAAGGGTTGTAATCATTCCCTCCCATGTCAAGTGCCTTCAGTTGTTTCCGTCACCACTAATTGAAACTAAACCCTGCAACCAGTCATTTCAGGCTTTTCAGTCTTCCAGTTCATTGTTCTCTTGCCACTCTCCCTGCCTCCACTGTACCCCCTGGCTGCCTCACTGCCTCTTTGCATCATTGACCTTCCTGCCTCTAGGCTTTTGCTTATGTTATTCCCCTTGCCTGGACTCCCCAGACCTCATCTTTGTTGAAATCCACTTAAGTCCAGGCTAAATGACGCTTTCTTGAAGTCTTCCCTGATTCTTCTCGAAAGAAATGGTCCCTTCCCTTTCTCTGTGTTTGTGGGCATTCTACTTTTACCAATGTTCCTGGGTCGGTCTCCCAAGTCCACAGCTCCTTAGGGTCAGAGGCTGTGTCCAGTCATATGTGCCTGGCACCAAGTGCTGAATGAGTAAGTGAATGAATGAGTGAGTGAGTGAATGAATGAATGAATGAATGAATGAATGAATGAATGAGGAATGAATAAATGTTCTGTGACCCAAGCCAGGGTTATTGCTGTTGTTCTCTTCCTTATGAGCTGGCCTACTTCTGGTTTAGAGGAAAAAGAGATAAGCAGCCCAGGGTTCTGGGAGCAGTTCTTGGGACCCAGCATGGCTGTCCTTTAAGTCAAGGGAGTGTCTGTCCTTAAAGCAGACTAATTAATGAGAAGTGCCTCGAATAACCTTCTAGAGTTAACCTTCCTCTGTCCCTTTACAAGCTTTAAGCAGCTGGGGACAGTAAACAGGCAAGACTGAGTCTTCAGCGCCACCTGCTGGCCACAAAGAAGACCTACTTGACCCCAAAAATCAGGGCCTCTAGTCTTAGGCTTTCCTTTCAGAAACTCCCTCAGGGAGAAGCTGGGAAGTTCCAGGTAAGGAGGGAGCAAGCCATCCACGCCTTCATTGACTTGGATATGTTTGCCCAATGATAGTGCTCCCTCCTGCTCGGGCACTGGCCTCTAAACTGGAAGAGGAACTGCCCCTGAGTTCAACTTAGCGCTGGAGGGATTTCCGTGACAATTGTTCCTGATATTCTTTGTAGACAGCACTGATATCATGTGAGAGTGGACAAAGCAGCCCAAGCTAGGCTCTCCTCCAGGAATCAGGAGAAGGGGAAGGAAGTTCCTCATTTCAGTGTGGTCCTGTGCTGAGGTTGGTCCTGTTCTCAAGTTTGCACAGGAGGAAACAGCATCAAAAATGGTATTAGCTTGCTGACATCTCACAGGTAGTAAGAGGTAGGTCCCAGACTTGGACCAGCATCTTTCATGATAAAGCTTAGCTCTGTGGTCCCTGCTGTGGCATGTACCCTAGTTCTTGTAAGCATAAATAAGTAAATCTTCTTTTTAAATGTTTACAGAACCATTTATAACATCAGTGAGGTTCCCTCCCTAGAGCAATAGTGGAAAAAAAAATGACGTTTTCATATGGTTTACCAGCACTCTCCAAACTAGCCTGCACATTAGAATAACCTAGAAATCTTTTAGATTTCTAAAGCCCAAACCAAATTCCAAAAGAATGAAATCACAATTTCTGAGATGGGACCCAAGATTCAGTGTTTTTTGAAGTTCTTCAGTGATACCAATATGTAGACAAGCCTGGAAACCACTGTGATTTCTACTTTAATGTTATCGCTAGACGTGGGGACTGGATATAAAGTCTATTAGGAATTGCTGGAGGAGTCCTTCATTGGCAGATGATAAGACCCTGAGGTTCTAAGATTTTAAAACATTAGTGTTCCTCAAACAATCCATTCTCTCAGAATTGTCAGGTTTGTCTCCCCCCCCCCAGAAAATTACAACAAATATATTTTTTCTGATTTTTCAATTTAATATCATTAAAGTGAACTATACAAATGATAAGTAGAATAATATTTTCCAACAAATATTGCACTGGGAATTTTTACAACATATTATTAAAAACAAATTCAAATATAACAAACTTGTAAAAAGTCTCTGTGTCTTCCTGATTATCGAATCAAAATCCAATTATATGTGATTTTAAAATGACCTCAAATATCTATAAATAAGCAAAGAAGAATTAAATCCAAGTATACATTAGACTAATAAAATTTCTTTCCAAAGTTTAAAATTAACAGTTTTTTTGGTCACAGTTTATAAAAGGTTACATTTTTTAATTCAACCTTTAAACTGAAAAACTTTCAAAATCCCCCCATTAGTAATAACAAAATAAAAGGACTTTAAAACTCTAACTTTAAAATAGAATGTATATATCATCACTATTAAATGGTTTCTAAAACACAAAACATATTGATAAAATATGGATCATATAGCACTGGTTTTCTTGATGAAAAAGAAAGTAATCATGTTTTAATTCCAGAAGATAATTTTTTCTGAAGATGTGGAATAACTAATGGGCTTGTCTTGAGTCCTATTTTAGGCACAAGTTAACATATAAATCACCATATTCCTTCCAAAAATATGATCTTTCAATTTGAGACTGTATAAACTGGTACATAGATAGTGCTGGAAAGTTGCAAGAGCTATGACTTTTGCGTGTGCAAACAGACCACAGATTAACAACTTTAGAGAAAGAAAACCGTTGGATGAAAAGGGACTCTGACTTCAGTACTACACCTGAAGAACTTTCCTAGACCCTCACATTGGATAGAGAGGTACACATAGAATAACCTGAAAGTCACCAGGGCTATCACGGAAGGAAACTGTCACTCTGGATATTAACTGGATTTAAATCTGGGCCTTAAAATAGTTAGCTTCTACTTTTTCTATACATCTTTTGAACAATTATCCTGTTTTAATAAATTAAAATTAAATTAAATTTAAATGGTGTTAAATTAGTAACACCACAGACTGCCTTAGAGAAAAGTTTGGGATTTTGAAGGGAGAAGAGAATTAACTTTGAAAGTCCTGATAATAAGCTCATGAAGGCGCTGGCTATGGATGGCTGACAATATGTCATTCTTGTCCAGCTAAGCCTTCTCCAGTGGGGAGGGAAGTGCATTAGGAAAACAGTAGTGGAAAAGCCCATTTTTTTTTTTTTAAAGCAGGAAAATGGGAGACAAACTTAAAACTCAGATTATCCAGGCAAAAGGAGTGAAGATACAATAAATGATGCTAATTCTCTTCTAGTCAGAGATTACTTAAATCATTTCCTGGTCTTTCATTGCCCACCTACCCCCCATTGTTTTGTTTCCCTTTATTAGTAACTGTATGATATTAAAAATGTCTGCTGGGATGTACAAAAAAATTTTTTAGAGTAATATTATTTAAAGAAGGTGCCAAAAAGCTAAGGAATTGAACAAGGGCCATTCATCCCAGGCTGAAGCTCCACATCCCCACCACAAGCTGGTTCACTCTCTCAGAGGAGTGGAGATAGGGTCTCCCCCTCAGTTAGGACTTTTTTTCAGAGATAAAAGAATTCAGAAACCACTCTAGATATGATGAGCTGCTTGCCTAACTAGCTTGAGAAAAACTGACTTTTCTCCAATATGGTTTTCTTTGTCCAAGATCAACCTTGAATCTCCATGAAACATACTGTGGATGTCAGAGAGTGGAAATACTTTTCAGGGCCCTCCCTGGTGGTGCAGCAGGTTAAAGCACAGCACTAAGAAAGCTAAAGCCACTTCAGCATGTGTTCAATCCCTGCCCCTGATGTGATCCACATGACTCGGTAGACCTCTCCTGACCTGCCCTCTGCTCCCCTCAGCAGTGTACTTTGTCGATCTGCCTGTTCTACTCCCCGCTCTGTCTCTGGTGAAGCCTCTCACCACCCCTGCACCTGTGGCCTGTACCTCAGCTCTGTATGCACAAGTAAATAAATCTTTCCAAAAAAAGAAAAAGAAAATACTTATTCATCAAAAGAACCAAGAAAAGTATACAGGGCTAGAACTGAGACTTAGTCAGAAAAAAAAAATTAAGAGACAAATTCTAAGATACATTACTCAGTGCTATAGAATGAGAAGGAATTACTACACAAAGGGGATTAGAGCTTTAAGTTGCTGTGTTGACAAACATGCTTTGACACTACCAGGAAAGTGTTTAAAACATTAAGAGGCATGGCAACTAATGTTTAATCAAATTCTATTGATTTGTGTTCCTGCCATATTGTTTACATAACTGTATCATTGGGGTGTAGAACGTCACACCTCAGCATGTATTTGCTCCACCAAAGCTGCAGCACCACTACACTATCCCATCACCCCCTCTTTTTTCCCCAACATGGTTTTAAAAAGAAATAATTCCCTTTAGTAATAATAATAATTTCCTTGAAAAAAGAAACAAACATAAAGCTAGCACCAGACACTGCCAGGCACTGCAGCATGAGTCTGATCCCCAGCCAAGGAGCCAGCTGACCCTATGGCACAGCAGACCTCTCCTGTCTTGCCCGTCACTCCCCTCAGCAGTGTGTTTCGGTCAGTCCACCTGTTCTGCTTCCCACTCTGGTGAATCCTTTCACATCCTAGACCTCTGGCCTATAGCCCAGTTCTTGTATGCATAAATAAATAAAATAAGTCTTAAAAGAAATAATAAAAAAAGAACTAAAATTGAACAAAAGTAACATTCTAGTACAATTCATAGGAGACAGCAAAAATAACTAGATGGGGTTGATTTTTTTTTTCTCTCTACTTTCAAAGCACTTAGACAAGTTTTAACTTTAAAATCAGGTAGCAGGACCCTCCCTGGTAGCACAACGAGTTAAAGCACAGCACTATGAACCTATCTGAAACCACTGCAGCATGAGTTCAACCCCCAGCCAGGGAGGTGACCCACTTGGCATGACAGACCTCTCCTGACCCGCCCACTGCTCCCCTTGGCAGTGTATTTCAGTAGATCTGCCTGTTCTGCTCCCCACTCTCTCCTCCTACCCCCTGCACCTCTGGCTTGTACCCCAGTGCTTATTTGCATAACTAAATAAAATCATTACTAAAAATCAGGTAGCAAATCTTGATCATTCATTTTTAAATTCCAGGGAGTGGCAAAATTACAAGAATTGTAATGTTATAGATTTTAACATTTAAGCTGTGAGCTCTATGTTCATAATCTAGGAACGTCTTGGGACTTTTCTATACTGTATCTATTACTAAGGATAAAACTGGAAGGACATAAGAAAATTTCCACAGCAGAATAGATTGTATCAAATTTTAAACAACATACTAGTTTACAGGCATGCCGAGATTGGAAGGCAACTAGATGGTGCATGTGTAAGGAAAAAATGCACTGTCAGGGGCTGGCTAACACCCAGGTAGGCTCAGTGATTCATCAGGAATGTGACTGACATTAGTTAATATGTAAACAAAAAGCTCTACAGCAAAATAGTAGACATCTGTAAACATGGAATGAGTTTCCCCCTACATACTACTACAGGGAAATTTGAAAGCAACAACAAAACCTCAATTTCTAAATTCAAATCAAAGGTTTCACTAGTTGGGTTTTGCTATACTTTTGTGTCAGTAAAACGGTTAGGTAGTGCTAGTGACAAGAACATAAATTTTCAATTTGGTATCTTTCCCACTTGCTGCTGCTGCTTGTTCTGGCTCAGTTCTTGGATTCTATAAGAAATAGTTGCTAATTCATAGCTAATTATTCATTAAAAAAAATCTCAAAGTAGGTAGAAACCTCACATCTTGAAAGCAAGCTGCCACTGTAGTCTTCCTATTATGTCACCCACAAGGAACAAAGAAGGAAGCTTTGCATTTCACTTTAAACTCCTTAGCTTCCTGACTCCAACAGAGACAAATGAACTTGGAAAGTGTGAAGTTGAGGCACCAGTGGTTGAGAGAAGGTTGACTTCTCCAGCAGGTTCTTCAAGGGATGAAAATCTTGCATGAAAATGAAGCTCATCGCCCAACTTGGCTCTTTTCCATTTTCTTCTTGATTGCACTGCACAGCTATAAAACAAACATTAAATTTTAGGTACTAACCTCAACAAGACTTGTCAGAATTTCTCCCTAAAGAAAACGGGTTTCACTTTTATTAGCTAGGCTTTCTTAAAAGTCACATTATCTCAAAGCAGTAAAATTTTCTTTGTATTTTTCATCACTTGAAAAACAAGACTGCATTTAAACTAACAGTATTACAAATTATTCAGTTAGCATAGAAAATAATGCAGTTGTAAACTTTGGTTAGAAAAAAGTATAATCATATCTCAAAAGGACTTTTCACATTATTTCTAAATTTTATTTTAATTTTCTTTAGCGAGAAGTATTTTGAGGGCTATCATCCTTTAAAATATAATTTTAATTATGTATACCTAGGTAAACTGCAAAATTGTCATGTTTCATGAAAGTTCTAAATTATTATTCCACATCCTAAGTTAGCTAATCCAAAGGCTACTTAATATCTAAAGAAGTATAAAGAAGAGTGCTATAAGTTAAACACAGAACCAATACTCTCTAACAGAGGTGGAAAGAACACTTTTAGGAACTCCATAGGTTCATGTTCTTCATAAATGCCAATCCTAATAAGAACTAGAATTCCCTAAATCTATAAATACTAACCATTCTTCTTTAAGTCACATAAATTAAAACAATATGCTAGAAACTGTGAAGTCTATCTACATTAATATCCAGTCACTAATTTACTCCAGTCACAACAAAAGCATCTTAAGAATTTGCTCTACATTCTCCTCCAATTATTTCCTGATTTAACCCATTCCATCAACTTAGGAGAGAATGCCTATCTTACCACAGTTTCTGGCTACAGATAGAATCAGCAACAAAGAGAGGTCCCAGATCATTTTTTAATTGTTTCCTCTAACTTGCCAACAGAGATGGGAGTTCTCCACTTTTGAAGAAAAATATTACTATGCTCTTGTGTGATTTTTGTTTTTTTTAATACTGCATAAAAACAGAACTTTTCTAGATTGCTACATTTAATTTGGGGATTCATGATTTAAAGTTAAAAAACTGAAATATACAATACTTATTTAACATTTTGTAAAATGGGGACCAAGAATTTTAAGATATACTAATATTAAGGAAAATAATGTAAGATTACAAGGTGTTGCATTGGATTGATTCACTCAGCAACCTCTAACATGCATTTCTGTACTGCAGAGATGGGAAAGTTAAACATCATTAACTTTCCTAGCCCCCTTTGCAGCTAGAGGGCCAAATATGATTGGCCCAATCAGTCAGGTGCACTTACTTGAGATTTCTGCTCAGACTTGAGTCAAAGGAGAGAGTCAGAACATGAGGTATCCATTTTTTGCTGATACCATGCACAGCAGAGTTGGTATATTTCTGAAGCTGGGAGTTATTCACAGCTGCTTAATCCAGCAGGAGACTTCCTGATCCAACAGGTAGCTTCTTGATTGTTCCAAAAGCATCAGCTTCTTTGTCCTAGCACGCTTTTGATATAGTTCCTGGAAGCTCAGCTGAGGTTCTGTTTCTTCAGCCCTACCAAATATTCTGCAAGCTAACTATTACTATACCCCTTCATCAACTTCATTCCATTTAAAAGCCAGTTAGGAAGATCCCATTACCTACAACCGATAATCTTGACCTATACAGAATTTGGTATCTACAAATAAAGTGCAGTGGGTAAAATATCTTAAATATGGGCTTGACTTAATTGAGAAGGTAGAGCTTTGGGCAATAAGACTCATGACAAAGGAGGTTAAGCTATCAGAAAAAGTGATGGTAGAACTTTAGCATGCTAGCAGAATGCTGTCTGGCTCTTGTCTCTTCCAATCTTACAAGGGAAATATGACTCAGAGAAACAGGTCTGCAGAGATGCAAAGGAATTTAATTTGCTGAGGGAATTGTTCTTTGTCTGTAAAACATTGATTGAACTCCAAGTCTGGGGCCTTGATGAAATGAAAATTTCAACTACTGAAATACTCCAAACTGAAAGTTTTAAAGGCTCTACAGAAGCTGATAGGCCTTTTTCAAGCACCTACTTTCAAGTAATGGGAGTCATGCTAAGGAAAAAGTTCAGATTAAAACGGTTGCCATAGCCAAATCTATGTTTAAAATAGTCCAGAGTACCATTCGGATAAGACCCAAGGGGAGTACAGAGTACAGAGGTCAGCAAACAAAAGATTAGGTTCATGTTAAAAACTGTCTTAACAAGATCTTTGACTCTGGTTACTCTTGGTAATAATTAAAGAAAACAGACCAGCAACTTATTACTCTTGTAGGGAACTGTTTGCCAAAAATCAAAAGGAAATGAAAATAAATTCCCAAACCCGGCCTGCAAAAAGCCTGTCACTATCTACAACAATCTCATGCAATAACAGGAAGGGCATTCGTAAGGCCACACAGCCTCCAGGAAGGGTTTACTTTCACATGCCTCAATGCACAGTAAGAACTTTCTTAAGGGCAAAATCCAGGACCCTCAGGGAGTTGCTCCCAAAAAGGTAAAACAGGGGATGCATGATGGGTAAACCACGGAATATATTTATTGACAGCAGAGAGATCAGGCTGTTTTTGCTAAGCAGTATTTTTTTTAATTGCTATGAACCAGTGACTGCTGAGTCCTATTTTCCCTTTTTTAACATGTTGATTTTATTGCCATTCCTCTGCACCTGGCACACCATTATGCGTGTGTTTGGCAATTCATGGGGCTAACAACTTGCCTTTTGGTTTGTAGGTGGCTAAAACAAAAGGAGCCACTTCCTAGAGCTGGATGGAGTGGAGTAACCGTTATACATGTTCTTAGAGCTCTATGCAATTATGGATCGGATTTGAGTGGTTTTCCTTCATGGTAGGGGAAGTGAGTTTTTCTGTTTCAGAACAATGAACATAGATATTTTAAGTAGCCAACAAGGCTGTTTCGGTTAAAACTGAAAGCTGCCCACCAAACTCTCCCTCTTCCCTTTCTTCTTTAGTAAAAGAAATTGCAAGGTGAATTTCTCAGCTTCTCTAGCAGCTAAATGGTCACATGACTTCATAGTTCTGGCCAGTGAGATATACATTCAAATGCAGTCTGATTCTCCTGAAAACTGCCCTAAGGAAGCTCATTCCACTGGAGAAAAGGTTCTTTTCTTGCCTTCCTGTGTTGTCTAAATGGCAACCTTGGACACTGAACTGGGGATAAAAACCATGAACTGGGGATAAATAGCATGGCATAAAGACAGGATCTGGGGCCCCACCTCCTTCCAGATTTGTTTATGTAAAAGGGAAAAAAAATCTTTAAACAGTGGCATAAACCATTGGTGTCTTTGGTTTTTTTGTTACACTCAGAAGAGCCTGATTTTGAATAATATAATTATAAATGGAAAATGAAATGAAGTGGCAGCAAAAACAGTTCAGTGGAAGAATTTCTACTAAGTAAGTTTGCAGAAAGTTAAAGAAAAAAAAAGTTACCCAAAACACTGGGAATATAATGACCTTCTTAGGAGAACTATTAATATCAATGACTTTCATTGAAAGGGGGGATGTTAAGTGTCCATAAAACAATATCTATTTTTATGAGTGAGAGCAATTTGTTTTAAAAGCTATGACAGCATCTCGCTTCAATAGCTTCAACATCTCACTGATAGTTTCATTAAATTATGGCATAAGCCCATTTAATTAAATCACTAGTGGTAAACAAAGAAAAAAGGAAGGAAGTGTGAAATTGAGTTTGTCTTCCTCATTCTTGTAGAACGTCAATCCTTACATATCTGTGTCCAAAAATGTGTTCTCATTTTAAAAGTATCTTCCTTTATTCCATATATGCTTTAAAATATTTATTGATCAGAGAAAAAGGAAAGAGGTAAAAAGACGAAACAGATGTTGGTAGCAGTTTTCTTCCAAGTTCTTGTAGGCTTCAAATTTTAAGTATCTGTTAAAAAAATGCTTTCAATTTAGAAGTATCTTTCATTCTGAACTTTCTTTTATATATTAGCTATATTGGATATTTGTTTTCTAATTACACTTAGCTAATCATAGGTTACAATTAAAATCATGTTTTCTGATAATATCAATAACTGATTAGAAATAATTATGAAAAAAGTTGAAATAAATCATGTCATCATGAATACAACTATCAAATTATATAGCTTTTCAAATGCGCTGATACATAAAAATAGTAAAGACTTCAGTTTTCTGTGATACAAGTATTCTATTTGCACAGATATATAGAAAGTAACATAGATAACTACAAATAATGATTTAAAATTACATTTATAATAAGTAAAATTTAAATTTACTCAGTTGTATATTTCTTTAAACAAACAAAATTACATACGTGGCTGAAATTTCAGTTCTTCACTTGGCCCTGATGGAGGAGTTCCCTGTTGTAATTTTTTTTGTTCCATTTGCTGTACAGCCTAATGAATGGAAAAGAATGCCTTAAAACTAAGTTTTATTTTATTTTCTCTGATCTAGAACTTTTGACAAAGCATAACAAACTAACGAAACTATTTTCCAAAATGAGATATTCCAGCTCTAAAATTTAGACTAACAAAGCAGTCCTAAAATAGTAAAATTTTAAAATATGCTAGCTTCTAGTATATTGAACTAATCTATTCCAAAAACACAGGCTTTTAGCAAAGTGCCTAAGGTCCTTTTTAAGGCCATAATCCTACAAAACCCCACCTGGTGATATTCCAGTTTCTGAGCTTGAAGTTGGTCATGCTCACGTTGTAACTGTTCCTTTTGTTTCTGAAGCTCGTCTGCCTTTCTCTTTAGCTCATTTTCTTGTAAAGAGATAAGATTTTCATATTCTTTTAGCTCTTCCTCTGTGAATAACTGCTGCTGATCTAATGTCTGAAAGGGGAAAAAATAATCTTAGAAATGCAATAGGAAGGTCTGATTCAGTTTTAAAGTTCTGTGATAAGCAAAGTACAAAAGAATATCTAGTGTATTAAACTTTGAGATAAAAAAGAAGGGGATAATATGTATTTATGCACTCATCTGAACAAAACGGAAGACTAAAAGGACTTGTAAGTTTGGTTACAAGAAGAGAGGTGAAAAGGACAAAGAATGTGGGAAAGAAAATGATACTTTCCTGAAGATACACCTTTGGAAAAATTTTATTTTTGGTTCATATACTTTACAAAAAGAAAAAAATAATATCTGTAAGAACAGGAAACCCACCAACTAAATACAAACCAAGCAAGTATAAACCAAAGCAGAAACTGGAGTGGGAGAAGCTAACTCAAGAAATTTTTGATCACAGTATTTGAACAATATACCCTCAGCTTAAAATAAAAATTTAAACAAATATTAAGCTTTTAATTTTCAGAGGCATGGATTAGCAATTCTTAAGCCCTTTGTACATCCTAGAATTGAGCAAATAAGTAGAATATTATTGTACCACCTTTTGTATGAAATATGGAAAGAGAAAGGAGAAAATGTTGATTGGAATTGGTGATATAACAGTGAAGTTTAAGAAAACATTAATAATTCATACATTTGAATATAGTGATATTTAAATATATAAAAATAAATGAATATATTTATAGGTCTATGTGTGTGGATGTACATGTTTGTGTATATGTGCAAGATACGTAGAACATAAATATGTGTGTACATATGTTTTATTTTAATTCCTCAACTCTGTTATCTCACAAATCTAGCAGCAATGATACTTCATTAGCAAGAAGCACATTTGTGCCCAGTCTCTGCTAAAAGAACCAGGTTCCTTCAAAAACATGGTTGATCCCCAAGAACAAGATGAGCCTGAAACATCTTGCTATGCTAAAAAGTAAAAAATTCCTCAAAGAATTATAGGGACATATTAGAGAGACGCAAAAGCCAGTTTAAAGAAATTCCCACTACATAAACAATATGAGCATTAAAATAAATAACAATAGTAAGAATTCAAGATTATTGAATAAAATCAGAAGCTGTGAGAATATACTGATATAAACAGATAGAGTAGGGGGAAGGGATAGCTTTCCTTATGTAGGAAATATATATGTAATATATATATTTTCTATATATATGTAATAAATATAGAAAAAAATTATTAGAAAATCACCAGTAACAATTGATTCTTACTAGAATCATCAGTGAATATAAAAACTAGTAAATAATGATACATTTACACAGTCTCAAAGAATATTCCCCAGAAAATTAAAAAAAAAAACAAAAACAAAAAAACCACTACCATTTCACTGGAAAACACTTTACAAAGTATATCAACAACCTTGAAAACATTCCCTGATCCTGGTAATGCTACATTGAGAATCTATCCTATAAAATCACCCTAAAGACGTAAAAATGTGTTTATATAAAAATGAAGAGCAGCACTTTAGTTTTAAAGTAACAGTAAAAGGGGAACTCCCTGGTGGTGTAATGGGTTGAAGCATAGCACTGCAAAGCTGGCCTCAGCTACTTCAGTGCAAGTTCAATCCTCAGCCCAGAGGGTGACCCACATGGTGCGGCAGACCTCTCCTGTCTCCCCCCAGTTCCCCTGAGCAGTGTACTTCATGGATCTGCCTTTTCTGCTCCCCACTCTATCTCTGGTGAATCCTCTCACCGCCCCTCACCTCTGGTGTTACCCCAGTTCTATATGCATAAATAAATAAATCTTTAATAAAATAAAATAACAGTGAAAGACCAGAGATAGCCTAAATGTTTAAACCTGAGAAAAGTTAAGCACCTCCCTCGCTACTAATAGAGTACTTACCTGCAGTATGTGGAAATGATTTTAACGTAATGTTAAGTAATTCTTTTTTACATTGACTTCTGATTAGCAGTATGATGAATCAACAAGATAGTTCTTAAATTACAAAAGCTAAAAGGGTAATATTACAGTGGAAAAACCTGGTAGGCACTAGCTTATAGCCAAACATCAGAGTTAACATGGCCGGTTATGGGAATAACCAGCAGTGTGTGCTTCCTGACATAATGCACAAAGATCACTTGGTGGTAGTTTTACCTAAAGCAAGAATCAGGAATCATAAGCAAACAGCAGGTTTCCATTCTTAGAATATCAATGCTGGAAGATATTATTTCATATTACAGGAGACAAAAAAGACATTACAACTAAATTCAATGTACAATCCTAGATTTTCCTTTTGTACAAAGGATATTACTGGGAAAATGAACAAAATGTTCAATCAAGTCTAGAGATTGGAGAACAGTGTTGTGTGCATCGTTCTGCAATTATGTAAATCTTTGTTTGCAGGAAATACACACTTTAATGCTTGAGTTAAAGTACCATCATGTATTATATAGGTATACACATATTCTAATGTGTACACACATTAAAGTATGCATGTACACATACTTATATGTGTATGATTATGTCCAAAATTATATATTATATCTTATATATAATGCTAAAGTGTTTTTTATCATATTTCATTTGTTTAATTACTTTTGGTGCCAAAACCGAAGAACAAACCATAAGTAGTCATTTTTGAGTAATGGTATATGAAAGTGTTCAGCAAATATTGTTAATTTTTAAAAATATAATTTCACAAATATACAAAGCCATTTATATAGAACTGAGCCATGTTTAAAATAGGTAAATATGAATTTATGTGTACGTATAAATTAAAAAATGGGATAGTACAGCATTCATACACTGTACACAATGTATGGCTATACTAAATATAAAAATCTCATTTACTTCAAAACTGGCATAATTTAAGTATCTACCTCTGGAGGGTAGCTTCTAATTTTTTTTTTAAGATTTATTTATTTATGTATACAAAACTGGGATACAGGCCAGAGGTGCAGACGTTGTGAGAGGATTCACCAGAAACAGTGGGGCTGCAGGAGTGGAGAGAGGATTCACCAGAGACAGTGGAGAGGAGAACAGGCTGACTGATGAAGTACACTGCTGAGGGGAGCAGCGGGCAGGTCAGAAGAGGTCTTGTGAGCCATTTGGTCACCTCTGGGGCAGGCAGGGATTGAACTCATGCGGAAGTGGCTTAAGCTTCTTAGTGCTGTGTTTTAACCCGCTGCACCACCAGGGAGGGCCCGGTAGCTTCTAATTTACTTCTCTAAATGTATCTACAGGTAGCTTCTAATTTTCTCTATATGTATCTCTATTTCTAATGCTCAAGAATGAACATTTTATATTTTGAAATAGTACAATTTCTAGTAGATTCTAATTATATGCAGTGTGATAACAAATAAGAGATCAATTATCTTATGGTGACATTATTTTATGGTGGCATTTTGTACAAAAGGCCAAGACAATAAGACTATACATGCAAACACAGTATGAGATAAAAGTTAAAGGTATAAGTGGCTAATGTCAAGTTTAAGTCATACATCCCATTTGAAGTTGGTTCTATTACCTCCCAGCTATCTGGCTCCAAAAATTCCTTTTTTTCTGTTGCTCTCATAAACTCTTCTAGAGTCACCAGTCGGTCTTTGTTAGTATCAACCTGATTAAAGGAAAATAATATGTAAAACAAAGCAACTGTTATTCATGAATCTTGTCTCATAGTGTTACTACTATCAACATTCAGCAGGAGCTAGCCTGACAGCCACAGACACTGAGGTGGGGGTGTGGGGCAGGGAGGAAGCAAAAATGGAGCACTCAATTATACTGGAATCAGAAAACAGATATTTTTCTCATCTATATAATTGCAATTTAAAATACAGTGAGTTATGTATACATCTGATACCCCAAAGTTTCAGTTTGCTGATCTGACTGGTTAGACTAGTATTTGCTTCCTCCCTCACCACATCATGTATAATCCCTCTTGAAGCCAAGTTCTTGGTCAGGAAAAATAGTCTTCCAGAATAAGAACTGTTTTAGTCAAAAGTAAAGGAATTTAAGTTAAAATCCTCTAAACATTTTTCCTTAAAGATGACTAGCATAGTGAAAACTAAAGTTGACAACCTCTCCAAATCGCCTCAATGGCACTTATAGATGTCAGCAAATTCAGTTACAAAGGTGACCTCTACAATGGCCAGATAAATTTATTTGATACAGGGATTCCAGCAGTTAACAGAGATCCCAATTCATCATTAACAGCTCAAATATCAGCAACAATCCCTAAATCAAAACAATAGGTTTTAGTTACCCTTAGTTAGATCAGAGTTTTTATAGTGATGTGAACAAGAAATAAATATCTGTTGTTATAAAATTTTAAAGTATTGGTTTTTTAAAATTTCTTAACTAAATATAACATAGCATTTAAAACATCAAATATTGCACTACAGTATTTTTTGGCTTCTAAATATTTTATGTCTGATATACAGGGGCATCTTGAGTTTTTAAAATAGTTACAAAGTGTTTTATTTATTTTAAGTGAATATACTAAATATTATGAATCAAAATGCAAAATCCAATTAAATACCTACTTTGTATTTATTTTTCGTCTTATGGAAACATTTACTATAACAACTTGGATAATCAACAGATGTAATATGTAATCTTAAACTTTTAAAACATACCTCATTCATTACATGTTCCCTCATTCTAAGTCTTTCCTCCTCCATTTCTACCATATCATCTTCTTCGTTTTTGGGGTCATATACTTTTTCCAACTAAAAAGAAAATTTTAAGACCAACATAAAAGAAAGGAAGATGACAGAAGGAAAAAAGAGAAAGCCAAAGCAATGAATAACTGATAAACTCATTTACCTCTTTAGTAAACAGGGCTTCTAATTCTTGTTCATCGAGGAAGCCATCATTATTGACATCTAAAGTTTAAATGTTACAAATGAAAAAATTGATCTCAATGCCTTAGAAAATAAATCAATAATTTAAAGTATAACTATCTACAGGTGGTTTGCAAAACTATTACTAACATGAAACATCAATACTTTACAAAAAAGTTTCTTTTTATTTAATGAAGTCTTAGTTCAACTGATAACATGCCCTACTTAATGCATAATTCATAAGTTTCTAAAAAAATGACTAATTTTCCCCTCAAATATAAAATTCTATCAATCTAACAATAGATAAGACTAAAAGTAAGTTTTAACATTATAACAGCACAAAGTCTGTTAGATATAACCAAGGCACAGCAATACCTTCATTTTACAGCAAACCTTGCAAAAAGTCATATAGTGACTCAACAGTAAAAGGAGGTATAAAGACACAGCTACTGACCCTAAGATCCACCCTGCAGATCAGTATGAAATAAACACTGCTATATTTCCTACAGAAAAACCTGAAATGTTTGCTATCAGTAGGACAATAGAAAACTGTCTTCTTTTTTTTTTAATAATATAATAGTTTATTTTTACATAATTTTGTACCTTTTTCCATCTCAGTTGTAATCCTGTGGGCTTCCCATCACCAAATCACCCATGTGCCATCACCATAGTCCAGTGTACTTCACCCCCCCCACCACCATTTTTTATTCCATTCCCCACCCCAACCCTGTAAAATGTCTCTGGTATATAGTTGTTCATTATTAGTAGTAGTATTGTTTTCTCCCTAGTCCTTTAGACTCCTGCTATGAGTGAAACCATCTGGTATTTTTCCTTTTTTTTCTGACTTATTTCACTAAGCATGATCTTTTCAAGCTCCACCCATGTTGCTGCAAAAGGCATGTGTTTATTTTTTTTTTGGTTGCTGAGTACTATTCCACTGTATATACGTACCATATCTTTTTAATCCAGTCATCTACTTCTGGGCATTTGGGCTGTTCCCAAGTCTTTCCAATTGTAAATAAAGCAGCAATAAACATGGGGGTGCAGGTGTCTTTTTGAATCAGTGTTTTTGTGTCTTTTGGGTAGATACCTAGGAGTGGGATTGCTGGGTCGTAGGGAAGCTCCATGTTTAGCAGTTTGAGAAACCTCCAAACAGTAGAAAATTATCTTTTAATAGATGTTACTATGTAAACAGTTTTGCCAGAAATCAGGAGTATTGCTATAATTTTCCAGACAGCATATGTAAATACTAATATATGCATCAAATCTATTACCATGTAATTTGAAAAATGTCTTGGGGTCAAAGTCATTAGGATCCAATCCATCGGTCTCTTCCCATACCTCCTTCAGTTGGTCCTTGCTTCCCTGTAAATCAATTTTTAAAAACACTCAAAATGCAATTGAATATATACATATAATACCTATGTGCATATATAACTATGTATACCTATATACATATATCAAAATTAAATGTTTGAGGAACTTTGCAGAATTAAAAATTAATATTTAAGTACTAATAATTTCATGACAAAACTTTACTCTCTAATTAAGAAAAAATCTTCAAGTAATCATAAAGTCATAATCCTTACTGGATGATTGACTTTGGGATGATTTTCATGTTTTTTCTTCATTTCTTCAAATTTCAATTCTTCTTCTTTTCTCTTTTCTTCACTCAGTGTTTTCAAATACTCCCTCCTTTCATGTTCCTTCATCATTTCATATTTTTTAAATTCTTCATGCCGAGTTTTGTCATAGTGTTCCAGATCACTTGTAGCCTATAATCCATAATTAAAGAAAAGATGTGTTTCTGGAATATCAAAAAGCCATTCTTCCATGTAAAATCTAATACAAAGTGGTATAAGAGGACCAAAAAATACTGGATTCCTCTTTTAAAATTCTACCAACTTATTTTAGTCATCATTACTACCAAGACAGAAACAAAAAGGTTAGGAGGTTTCTCATAAACAATATATAAATTGACTTGGAAAACAAGAAAGAAAGAACTGTATCAAATTAGTACAGAAACTAGGATAATTTCTAATCACAATATGAGAGATCTATAAACTCAGAAAACACCAGAAATAGACACCCAACCACACAGGAAGAGGTTAGGAAAGAGAACTGAATCAAGATAGTAAAATTTCAGCAGTAAGATAAATGAGTTAGGCATGTAATGTCCAACATGATGGCTACAGTTAACAACCTATGTGGTGTATTTGACAGTTGTTAAGAAAGCAGAATCCAAGATTCTCAATAAAGGAAATTTTTTTTCTTTTTGTATGTATCTCTGTGAGATGATAGGCACTAACTAAACTCATTGTGTTCGTCATTTCATAGTATACACATATATCAAGCATAGTGTTATTTGTTCAATTAAATCTCAACACAATTGGAAGAAAAAAGAGAATTTTTGAGACTTCTAAGTAGGGATTGTGACACATATGCCACATTATGAAATATCCCTGTAGAGGGCTGTGATTAAATAAATTAGTATTCCTCTAGCAAAATCTATGGATAGTCACATTACATAGGCTAAATAAAAACTACAAATAACCTTATTGTAATTCGAGCCAGGTAATTCAGATTTTATAGTTTCTTTTTAAAAAAAATTTTGTTAAGGAATAGACCTATATGTCTCTAGTATGTGCACTAAGAAGGGTTAAGCTACCTTTAAAGACATTCTGAAGAATATATAAAATCGTATTACCACTTCATTGCTTGTCAAACTACAAAACTGCAAAGGCACAAGAGAGACAACATTGTTGGAATTATTCTCACCGCTTTGATTAGCATATCTAAATCTGTGGACTCGAACTTGTCAGGATTCATGTGGTTTAAGTGATCAAATTGTTTTAGAAGAGCCTGGTGGTCTATACCTGTAGCTGAAAGAAAATAAGAAAACTGTAAATGATTAACTATTAGATGCTAGAAACATTAATACAAAAATACATAAGAATAAGCATTCAATTTATCTCGATAGAATTTTGAAAGAAAATTCAATGTTTTAGAGTTCCTATTTCTTTTAAGAGTATTGCACACATTGTTATGCCAGAAAAAGGCAATACCCTGGGATTTAGAATGAAATACAATCTATATACAACATTAATGCTATTTTAGAGAGATTTGTTAATTATCCCCATAACTAAGAGTAAAAATGGTTTTATTATAGGTGAACTACCAAACTTCCTCCTTAAGTAGGTAAACTCTAATTTATTGACCTTATCAAAGGTCTATGTAGAATTTCTGAAATGGATTGCTCTAAAATTTATCTGAAGGATTTTTTTTGTATTTTATTCCAATGAATCTTTAATAGAACAATAAAAATCTAATTCAAGCTCATACATTTGAATGATGACTTATTTTTAGAGAAACATCAGTTGCTTTACTTCATAAAAAAAGTTTTTAAAAACAAGCTACAATTGATTATAGTTGAATGGATGAAGTGATTATGTGTTATTTGAGTTCTATTATAGACTTGAACAAAATAGGTCAGGTGATTCTGTACTTAGAAGTTAAGTTTTCACTTAGGGGAAAGAAATATATATTATGGGACAATGGAAGGCACAGAAATGGATGGGAACTAGGACAGTCTGTGTGAACTTATGATTTCTAAAATATGTACATGTATATGCATGTTTCATCCTGTATACATATGTGTGTGCATCAATTATAACAAATACATTACTCTAGTAATCCAGAAGCTATGCTCCATGACTAAAAGTTCTATGAGAATTGGTGTATTTTTTCCCTCAGTTTTGCTGTGAACCTTATATTGCTCTAAAAACTAAAGTCAAAAAATATAAATTTCAAAGATTTATTCCAATTTATCATTTGTCCTTTCATCTTATGATTTCTTTCGTCACATAGTATTTTTCTCATTTCTACTCCTATGGTGATTTATAATATCAGATATCCTATCAATAAGTCAACTGTGCTATAAAATAAATCCACTTGCTATGTATGATATAGTGTTCTGCTGATAAACAGTAATTTTGGTTTGGAAGGTAATACACAATAAGAATGAGGAAGACTTCCTTTTTCCTATGTTATAGAATAGTTTAAATACCATCAACAATTTGCTCTTTAATTGTTTAATAGAATTCCCTTTGATGCTGTCAGGGCCTAAAGGTTTTTTGTAGGGCTACCTCTCTGACAATTTTGCTATTTCATCTGTGGAAGTTGTTCTTCATGTTACTTTTCATCTTTTAAATTAGTTTATTAATTCATTACTTTTCATTCTTCTTTTCATTTGGAATAATTATTTGAGACTAATTTTTTGAATTATGTGAATATATTATTTATTACAAAATTAAATTTAAAATATCAGAGAAGCCAAATCAATATTAACTTTAAATTTTCACTAAAAGAACATGGCATGTGCTAATGTAAACTGCTGTTAACAACCATTTATTGAAATTTTCCTATATTTTTATATCACTTACCTTGAAGGGAATCCAATTTAGCTTTAATTAGCATTCTTAACCTTGACACTTCTTGTCTCTTTAGTTCATCAAGTTTTGTCCTCACATGGTGACTTACTAAATCAAGCTCTTTGCTTAACCTCCCACTCTGTTAACAAAATTAATAAATTAGTTTTATCTGTTGAATTGTATTTTTTTACCAGACATTATATAGTAAAAGTAGAAGTATAATAAAATGACAAAAAATAACTTACTAAATCAAGCTCTTTGCTTAACCTCCCACTCTGTTAACAAAATTAATAAATTAGTTTTATCTGTTGAATTGTATTTTTTTACCAGACATTATATAGTAAAAGTAGAAGTATAATAAAATGACAAAAAATACTTTAATGAGATTAGATAAAGTTGGTATTGAGGTTGAGATTCAGTTTTAATTCTAAAATCAAGATATCTAAAAACCACATAATTTAGAAAATATAATTAAAGCACAAAGAGGAACTCAAAAATAACCAAAATATTATAGCTGCTGTAGAAAACAATTCCTCAGAAAGTTAGAACAGAGTTACCACATGACTCAGCAATTCCATTCCTACATATATGCCTGAAGAATTAAATTTTATGTTCACATAAAAAATTATAATACATGAATATTCAGAGCACCATTGTTCACATTAGCCAAAAGAGTAGAAATAAATTAAATGTCCTTCAACATAAAACAAATATGGAATATCCAAATTTTGGAATATTACTCAGCTAAAAAAAAGGAATGCATTTGTTGATGCATTCCACAATACAATAGAATTTGAAAACATTAGGTTAAGCCAAACACAAATAGCCACATTGTTTTATGTATATGAAATGTTCAGAACAGGTAAATCCATAAAGATTAGACTCACAAAGTAGATTAGGGTTGCCAGGGGCTGAGGAAAAGGGGGAACAGGGGAGTGATTACTTAATGGGTTTCCTTTTTGGGGAATAATGAAATTGTTTTAAAACTAGGTAATGGTGGTAGCTGCATACCTGGTTGTACTAAAAGTCACTGAACTATATGTTAAAGAGACAAACTTTATGAGATCTGAATTATGTTTCAATATTTTTTAAGTGATTTGGACTTTTAAACTTTAGTTATTGGAAATAAATTTTCAAAATTAATCTTCTTAAGTAGTTTCCTTTGATTATATCCTTTTTAAAAAAGATTTATTTATTTATGCAGACAGAACTGGGGTATAGGCCAGAGGTGCAGGGATGGTGAGAGGATTCACTAGAGACAGAGTGGGGGAGCAAAACAGGCTGACTGATGAAGTACACTGCTGAGGGGAGCAGTGGGCAGGTCAGGAGAGGTCTGCCACGTCATGTGGGTCACCTCCGAGACCACGGATTGAACTCGTGCTGAAGTGGCTTTAGCTTCTTAGTGCTGTGCTTTAACCTGCTGCACCACCAGGAAGGGCCCTGATTATATCTCTTATAGATGAATAACTACATATATTTTCCAAAGTTTAAAAAACAAATAGCCAGTGTTTACTTTCTCTTGTTTATTAATGCAATTGCAATCACAAGATACTGAAAACTCTACAATAAATATCATTCACGCCAAGAAATTGGTTCCACTGGTCAAAATAATTCTTCAAAGGATACACAAGATTATTCTCAAAGATAATATAGAAAATTTAATGACAAATACTGTTCCCTCTCCCCCAGAACAATTCATAACCTCTGACAGGAGAGTTGTGAACTCAAAACCACCCACAGGTAATTGCTAAAACCAGATGTTACTAGGTCCTTCAACGAGGCCCACACTGAGGACAGAGATTAAAATGAGAAATCTGCTTGGCCCAGAAAGATTCCTTCACATTTCTGATTCTGATTCTAGAAACAGTTGATAGAAATTTTGAGAAAATTTTAAAATGAATAAATAAACAAAAATGGTAACAAGCAAAACTTTCTGGGAAGTTTGAACTGAAAGTTTAAAATTAAATTACTGGAGTTATTTTTACTCTCTGACGTTAGATATACATACTGAAACAGACTGATAGTCCAAGGATGGGTTTTTTAAAAAAAAGAATCTCTCATATCAGATCTTTTCAGCTCCCTTTCTTTAAGTCTGAGGACTAAGAGATGTGTAGGGTTACAATTATGTTTATTAGCACACAGGCAGATGGTTACCTACTAGCATAAGATATGATCCATTACCTCTTGTAATAGTTGACTGGAAGCTGATTAAAACACCGGAAACCAACCTGTTCTATATCTCCAAATAGATTCCTACTATCCTCACATCGTGATTCACTTGATACACAACCCCCCGAGCCTCATCCTCTAGTCCCTATGCCAACCTCATGTTTTAGCCACTCAGTCTCCACTTCCCATTACAGTTTCCAGCAACAGTTACTACCTTTATTTTCCCATTGCTCTCTTGTAGCTGGATACCCTTGCACCTAGGTCTAGCATGCTTCCTAGGCTATGTCCTTTTCTCAGTCACACCTTCAAGCACTGACATAAACGTTACAGAGAAGGATAAGGTCCCACTTTCCCCACAGCTGGAATGATGTGTCTATCATCTGCACTTCAAAAATACATCATATACTTATCACATATTCATCATAATAATCTAGTTCTGGTCATTATTCTCCTTTGAAGGGGTCTTTAAGGGCTTGGGCTGAGTTTTATATCTGTATACCCATTACTTAACTAAGTACCTGTCATGCTCAGATTTCTGTTAAATAATTATTTGATTATAGTTACCTTTATTTCCTCTATGTCTGCTTTCTGAAGCTTTTCTCTAAAATGTTCATCTGTTTCCAGCACATCAATCACTTGCTTGAGATATTCATCATAATAAAGTCCAGTATCCTTCAAATTAAGAAAAAGATAGTAATGCTCCTATAAGTTTTGTTCTTCCCTGCATCTAAAGATCTCAATCCCTAAAAAAATATTTCTAGCAAAATGGTACTTAGTTCTACTTCGAGAATCTGGTCAACGTTAAGAAGCCATATTTCTCAAATGAGGAGTTTTGTGTCAGAACTGAAATCATATTTTGCCATTAACATAAAAGTAGACTTTTATATGTGTTTAGATAATGAAGACTTAAACAATAATATTGTTTTTTTCACCTATATGTTCTCATGCTATCTGTCTCTCTCTTGATTATAACACACTGTTTTCTTAGCTGGTGAGCTCTACATTGGAAATGGATTATGATTAATTCTTTTATGTAATATCTAAAATACTAACTACATTAGATAAGGATTGTCTAGTATTATATAACATATGCTCATGCAATTCACTTCTCACTGTCATATCAGAAGTAGTTCCTAAATATCCAACTTTAGAAATGAGAAGTATTGGCAATTTCTCAGCTAAAATTCTTCCCACCAAGTTATCATTATCAAGTCACTTACCGGTGACTGCACCTTAGCACTGTCCACAGGTTGAGTATTTTTCACTTTCGTCTTGTCTATGTCTATAGGCACAGCTTCAAGAGCAATAAGAAGACATGCAACCAACAGCAAACAATATTGTAGTAGCATGTTCCTCCACCTTGTCTAAAATAAAGGTGTAAGTACAGTAAGGTCCTGAAAAGATGTTCTCAATTTATATATACGTGTATTCTTAATGCCTCCTCGATAATGTGTTTAATCTTAGGAAGTTTAAGTCTACAGCAATATTTGAAGGGATAAAAATTGATAACTTATTAAAAAATAATGCTTAAAGTAGATCATTACCCCACCCACCTGATCCTTCTAATAAAAAAATAATTTTTTAAAAGGCATTAAAAATCAAGAGAGAAAGTCCTTAAGTAAAAATTGGGGGAAAAAAGTAAATTTTAAAGTTTAAACTTATATTGTATGAAAATATCTGGTTATTTATAAAAGCTCAAAATGAAAAGCAAAGAGGGGCTCAATATTCTTAAAAATAAGTAGCCCAGGTTTAGGAAAGAGAGAAGTAAGGGAAAAAAACTCAATTAAAATACTAGAGAGGGCCCTCCCTGGTGGCGCAGCGGGTTAAAGCACAGCACTGAGAAGCTAAAGCCACTTCCGCATGAGTTCGATCCCCGTCTGCCCCGGAGGTGACCACATGGCGCGGCAGACCTCTCCTGACCCGCCCGCTGCTCCCCTCAGCAGTGTACTTCGTAGATCCGCCTGTTCTGCTCCCCGCTCTGTCTCTGGTGAGGCCTCTCACCGCCCCTGAGCCTCTGACCTGTACCCCAGTTCTGTATGTACAAATAAAAATAAATCTTTAAAAAAAAATACTAGAGAACCAAATACTTCAAAACTTGGCTTAGCTTCATTCTAATTTAGAAAGTAAACTGTTCTATGAGTATAAATTGATTCAAAAGAAATTGATAATTAACCATAAATAGTCTCAACCTTATTTTTATCCTAATCAACAGTGATTTGCTAAAAATCTTTTCGGTCAATAAGTTTCAAATAAATACACCAGTAAAATATCAATTAATGCAATTGAAATAAGAGCAACTACTGCTGCTCCCATAATATTATTCAAGTTTTACATATTCTGAGTATTTTCAGTCCATAAAAGTCTTAATGGCGTCAACAAACTACTATAAAAATTAGAGTGAATAAAAATCTCACATCTAATTGATTATATGGATGTATATATGTGAGTGTGTATAAGTGTATAGACAGAGAAATTCATTAAGGCTACTAGAGGGGGAGGAAAGAGGGAGCAGGATCAAAGGGGAGAAGGAGGCCCAATGGGCTAGGGTTAAGGACAATGGGTGTTTTGGGAGGAGGTGGGGGGTAGTGTGATAACATAATTTGAGGAGGTATGAACCTATTCCCCTAAATCATATTCAGTGCTGTAAGTCAATGTCACTTCAATAAATGAATAAAGTAGATATATCAATACAAGAATCTCCACATAGACTCCTGCATGCCCTGTTCGCACTTTATCTGGTGCTCCACAAACCTTCCTCCTCCCACCATAAAACGCACGTACACAGGGCAGTTGATAAGCTCTTCTATCTCAATTGGCAGCTAGCCCACTTATTTTGACATATGCTTTTTTTTTTTTTAAGATTTATTTATTTATTTGTACAGAACTGTGGTACAGGCCAGAAATGTGGAGGGTGAGAGGACTCACCAGAGACAGAGTGGGGTGTGGGGTACAGAACAGGCAGATCTACGAAGTACACTGCCGAGGGGAGCAGCGGGCGGGTCAGGAGAGGTCTGCCACGCCATGTGGTCACCTCCGGGGCAGGCGGGATTCGAACTCATGCGGAAGTGGTTTTAGCTTCTCAGTGCTGTGCTTTAACCTGCTACGCCACCAGGGAGGGCCCTGAAATATGCTTTTTTAATGCTGCCTACCTTTACTTCAGTACATAATAGAAGCCTGAGATTAATAAAAGTGTCTGTAGTCAAATCCAATTCTGGAAGTAGAATTTGTCAGCTCTCTCATTCTTCTGCCAAGTCCACCATAAATAAGAAGTCAAAGAGAGGAATGTGTTTGTAATATGAATGAGTGGGTGTGGGTGTGTGTGTCCTGACAACTTCTCAGTGATAAAGTGACCAAAAGTAGTTAGACTTCTATTCTACATTGGCTGAACTTATGTATCATAAATATTTCATTTATTCCAGGATTTTTATAAATAACAATAGAAAATAAATTATCTGATGTTAACTCATACCAAGGAGTATGCTTAAAGTCTTTTTTAATATAACTCGTTTAATGTGAATTACAACAGCCCTAGAAATAAACATTATTATCTCATTTTAAAGTACAGAAAACTGACACATTATTAGTTAAGATAATTGATCTGGGGCACAGGACATTAAGTTTTACAGTCAGTGTTCAGACCCAGAAGGGCCTGACTGCAAAGCTTTGTGTGCTTTTAGGCAGTGATTCTAGAGTGCATTCCCTGGGCCAGCAGAGATAGGGGAGAAGAGGAGGGGAGTGCAAAACCTGTTTTATAACAAGTCCTATGGTGATTCTAATTCTTGAAAACAGACTGTGTCTCTACAAAGAGAGATTCACGAGAATGCTTATCTCAAAAGTAAATCTGGATCCTTAATGAAAAGAAAAATGGGTGTTATACCTAAGAAGAATAAGGAAAAGGTAATTTTAGGCCCACATTCTAATTCTAGTCCCACCACTTGCTATGTGATCATAGGTCAGTCAACTTTCACTCCTTAAGTTTTCTCATTTTTACAAATAATATATTTTTTAAAGGGGATTTAACTAAATCTCAGTATTCTTCAAGGTCTTAAATTTTGTTATCAGTTTATTCTTTTGAATAAAGTGTAGATCTTTTCTAAATTATCAAAAACACTAATAAAGTTTTTTAATCACACCAACTATATGAAATGGTTATGTTATTAAAAAATTAAAAATGCCTTTATATTAGATATTGCTTATTCAATAAACTTTAAAAACTACATTGGTAGGATGAATAGAAAATCAGAGTGCTGAGATACAAAAATGATCACAAAAATCAACTACCAGAGAAAGTTCTCTAGAAACAAACAAACAAAATGTGGTAAAGCCAGAAAACTTCACACTTGAGCTACAGGATGAGAGATATTAGGACCTGTGATCAAACTTGGACCTTGCTTCGAAAGGAGAAACAAAGTTCCTCCTCAATTTCAGATTTAGAGATACTCAGACTTGCATTTCATTTAAACTGTGTTTGAATCCATACAGAAATAAAGCAAATTAGTGGTTGTTTTGGTGTGGGGAGAAACCAAATAAAGGGTTAAGAAAAAAACAAAACTTGCAAATTGACTGATGGTCTGAAGGTACAGCAGGGGAGAAGGTGAAGATTTGAGCCTACAGCAGGGGAGGAGGAAAGAGAGTGGTCAAAACAGAGGAAGTTAGAGCACAAGAGACTGTGGTTATGGTTCACAGGTGCTGTGGTGGTGGGAGAGTTATGGGGAGATGCCTGAGGGGAGAAATCAAACACTGTACAAAAATAAACAACGATGTAAGAAAATAAAAATTAAAAAATAAATATCAAATGGCTAAAAAGGTCATAGAGGAAGAAATTAATAAAATGTATATAACACATACTATTAAAAAAATAGAACTATGGTCTTGAGATGACAACCTTGCAAAATGAGTGTTAAGAGGCTTGGAAGTAAAGTCAGACAAAGGGACTTGAAAAAATCGGGAAAGAAAGTCACTTTCAGTCTCCACAGTAGAGAGAGCAATGCTGTGTGGTAAAACACAGATGACAATTCTGAATCGAGAAAGGTTTCAAAAGACTCAGACTATGGATCTAAAGAAAGCAGAGGAATACCTTCACCAATGTATTTTACTTTTAATTTCTTTAAGTATATACAAAAATTATATGAAAATCTATGATCTATCTAAGTGAATCAAAAAAAGCACTTTCAGTAAACATAAGATTATAAATGATAAAGCACAAATGTGGTAGCTTAATGGGCAGCATTTTTTTCTGTCATATAGTAGTGTCTTCCTGTCAAAGTCATCTTGGAATGGAAGAGATACTAGACCTTGGGTTTTAAATTTACCATCTTCTTTTGGGATTTTTTATTTACCCTGCTTTATTAATATCTATCTCCTCTCCTTTCTTGCCTTTTTTGTTTTAATTTTTGACTTATGCAGGATTTTTTAAACACTCTGTCACTGCCACTTTTCTAATTTTTTAGTGTTAATTCTAGAATTAATTAGGACAATTAACACATTGAGGTCGTAAACTAATGAAAATATTTTCTCTATTCCTTAATAAGACTTTAATAAATGTTATCATAACAAAAGCTGTCATCATAACAAAAGATATGGAAAATGTTGTAGCACACAGATGTCAATTAATGACATTTAAAAAAGCTCTTTAAATATCAAAATAATGTCAAAATGCTATAGAAAGCTCTACAAATTTTCATGAACTGGATAATATACAAATACCCATGCAAAAGAAGGAGAGATGACCCATAGGAGGGGTAGTGGGAAGGAGAGACTGCCTACTTTATCAGGTCAGTAACAATGTCCTACAATTTTTTTTTATCACCCTCTTCTTCCTTAAGAATAGAGACCTAAAGAGGAGACACTCTGCTGAACTAGGCTGACTAGTAGGCTGATCCAAACCAGGAGAGGTTGATCATTTACTCTGAAGGATGGTGATGTGAAAACCTAAATCAGTGATCTCAAAACAGTATGGGCAACACAGACCCTCAAGGGCGCTGAAGCTTAGGGCAAAACTACAAAGTAAAGTTCTTAAACCTCTCCTGGCATTCCATCATACCAAATAAATTCCCTAAATCTCCAAGTTAAAAAGAAAGTTTTTCTCTTTCCCTCTCAACCAAATCATAATTCCCATTCTTCTACAGAGTCACAGTTCTGAGCTGTTGATTCATACCAGCATTATCCAGATTAAGTTCTCTCTTTCTCTCTCTTTCTCTGTGAGTGTGTGTGTGTGTGTCTGTGTGTATGTGAATGAGAGAGAGTTTCCTATTTTGATTGTAGGGGGAGATATCCTGGAAGTGGTTAAAAAGTATGGTTGTGGCTTTAAGGTGTGAAGAGTTAAGAAACAGAAATTAGTTTGTCTTTCTTTACTTATCATAATCTTTATTCTTCCCCATTTATCTTTTTCTCCCTTCTTCAACTCTCTTCTTTTATAGCTTTCCTTTTTAATTTAAGGCTGAATTGAAAGATGTTTTCCTTAACCTACTGCAATTATTTAATTAATGTTGTGATAAAATTTAACAAATATTTATTAAATGTGCTGGGTACAAAGGTAAGAGACATAGATGTGATCCCTACCCCCATAAGATTTTCAGTCTGCTATGTAAATTAAATAAACAATTGCAATTTTAAAAAAGCCACTTACAAAGCAATGGATAGCCTGATTGTTTTTCTATTAATTACAAAAATTTAAATGTGCTAAAATAGTATTTACAAGTAGATATTTCTATTGTCAGATAGTTTATAATGTTAAACACCTTAGAAATAATACTAGGTGGTTTCTACACACACATAAGTTCCTGATTGTTTTTTGGGGGGATCAATGATTCCAGACTGGTGAAGTAAAGCATTAGCAGCAAGAGACTTACTGAATTTTGTGACTGATACATGGAAAAACTTAATGTCATGCAAAACCACAAATATAACTTTGTAGAAATAAAACCTTATTTGCTCCTAATCTACCTGCTAAAATCCATGAGACTGGATGAATCTTTAGATTCTTCCCCACTTCAATTATCATCCCTTGAGTGTGTTATCTTTTCTCAAAAGCTTATTTCAATTCACTTTCTTTGCACAGAGAGTGACATCTAGATCATATAACATTACAAGTATAGGGTATATTTTCATAATATTTAAAAAGAAAAGTGTGGAAGGAGATAAGTTAAGCAAGGGCCAGCAGTTAGGTAACAGGAAATTTCAGCTAGGAAGGGGACAGTTAAGTTGTTTAAAAAAAAAAATCACAAAACTTTTAATTACCAAAGACAAAAGTGTGTTTCTTGTGCCATTACTAAATTTAAATGTATCCTGAGGTAGATTACACTTTCAACATAAAGTTGCTTCCTGATGATTTATTATGTAATCATTTGGGGGTAACTTATCTCTTTTCTTTTTAGTACCTTACACACAGCAAGGGGCTCAATAAATATTAGTTCTTTTTTTAACACGTGCACAGAATGTACAAGAAACATCTATTGAGCATTTATAGGTAATTTTTTAAAGTAACCAGAACAAATACCTAATGAAGGCAGAAAAGTTTCCAGAATGAATCCAGGGATTAAAGTAAAAAGAGGGTTCACTTCAGCAGACATCTACTAGAACTGGAATGACACAGAGACTAAAGATTAGGGTGGCCCTGGGCAAGAATGACACACATATTTGTGAAATGTTCTATATTTTTAAAAATGAAAAAAGAAATACAATCAATTAAACGAACGTTACTTCCTTCTGGAAACCATGGCTTTAAAGCTCTGCTTGGCAAATTACTGAAAGCTCCACCCGTAGTTATCAATTGCTATATGTCTCAGAGGTCCCTACTGTGGAAGACACTTCTTATTTTCCTGCCTATGTCCAAATCTTCCCATCCTCCTAAGTAACAAAGGCCAATTTAATTCAGGCAGCCTTACATACATCCAGCTCTGTCTCCCTGCTCCCTTTGTACCCCGAGTTTTGGTTCAGGAAGTCTCCATAAAAGGAGAGGATGCATCCTTCCTTTGCTTTCGCCTTGCTGCCTGACCTTGGCTGTGATGGTTGGCAGCTTTCTTAGACTAGACGGACCAGGCCCACACCTTAGAAATATCATATCAAAGAGCTGGGGAAAAAATGTAAGTTCCTGGTAACTTTCTGAAGCTACAATACTTAACCTAAACTTCCTACTTGATGAACAATTTTACATGAAAAAATAAGTATTGTGTGCTTATGATACCATTAGTTGCTTTTATTTTTTGTCCTCCCCATTTTTTTTTTTTTGTAATCAAATGCAGTCTTAACTGATCACTTACCTTCAGACAGGTAAAGAATTTTTAGCTCCGTTTTACAGATGAGGTAACTTATATCCAAAGCAGTAAGAGGACTTGAGCAAAATCAAATAACTGAGATTGGTCTTGACTCCTAATGCTTTTTCAAAAAGCAGGTTCTAGATATTAAAAAGGAAATAAAGATTCATTTTTATATATCAATATAAATTTGCCTTTATTGCAGTGATAACAAAACATAATGTATATACTTGTCACACAAAAGTTCTATGATGTGGAAGACAGAATTAAATATCTTCCAGTGTAGAGAAGAGATATTAAATAAATAGACTCAAAAACCAGAATAAACAATAATATGAATCTGTTATGTCATTTACTACACAGTTCCCCTTTTAAAAGCTAAAAATAAATCCAAATGAAAGCTTATTTTTGTCAGCAATACGACTTTAAGATAGCAGGTATATTTTCCCATAAATCCTTAACTGGAATTTTCTTAAAATCCTTAACTGGGGGGCCCTCCCTGGCACAATGGGTTAAAGCACAGCACTGTGAAGATATGGCGGCCCCTGCAGCATGAGTTTGATCCCCAGGCAGGGAGCTGACGTCACCACATGGCGTGGCAGACCTCTCTTGACCTGCCCCCTCAGCAATGTTTTTCAGTCTGCCTGTTCAGTTCCCCAATCCATCTCTGATGAATCCTCTTACCCCTCCGTGCGCTGGCCTGTACCACAATTCTTGTATAAATAAATAAATAAAATCTTTAAAAAAAAAATTAACTCTGGCCATCAGTCAGAGAGATCAGGTATTTAGTGAAACAACTAAAAATTCTTTTTTGAAACCCCACTGCCCAGCTGTAAAAGACAAGGCAGCTAGCCCATGTGCCAATGCACTGATAAACATAACTATTTCTAAGTAATCTGTTAAAAAAAAGAGAAAGGGCAAATATAGTATCTTTAAACTTTAATACATATTAAACATATTTCTTCCTTCTTATGATTTTTTAACATAAAATCATCTAAGCAGGAGAGTGATTATATGCTTGTAATATGTTGGCAAGGCATGTGACTTTTATTAACACAACACAATCAAAAATAAACAACAGATGAATCCTAACTGCTCCCATACAATGGCAAGCTGCTTGCCTCTCTGAGCTGTGTTTTCCTACCTATAAAATTAAACTAATACTTCTTCATAGATTTTTGATTGGCTGAAAATAAGAATGAATACAATGTAACTAGTATAGTACACAGCAGGAATAAATGCTCTTCAAATATTAATGCCTTCCTGTCATAAAGAAATCTCCAATGAAATTATAAAAATTGGTTCTATAAATACCCAGAGTTATGAAACTTAAAAGGTAAGAAACCAGTCTAACAAATAACCTTTACATGACATTTTTGACAGGTCACATTAGAGCTGTTCTCTGAGCATTGCCACAGCAGTTATAGGCCAAAGAAAAGAGTGCATCCAATAAAAGAGAAATAATCTCTTCCTCCTTGGCATTAAAAGAGTTTTTGCAAGATCCCCAAGTTTCTTTCTCTAAAGCACTGCCTTGAGCCAGGAAACTTGGGTTGCTTCTTCTTAATGTCAATGTCGTAATTCTAACAATGAGAGTAGTGGGGAGAACAAGAAGTGGCTTCTGAGGTTTTCACTGGCATCAGTGATAAGGGCAACAGGTAACCTGGTGCTCAACTCCATTTTTCCTTTTGAACATGAGGGTCATTGGGACATTGAGATCAAAATATAATATCAGATCTGTGACCAGCTGATCTGAGCTCCCTTTATCAAAATGTCAGTATAGGCCCTCCCTGGTGGCGCAGCGGGTTAAAGCACAGCACTGAGAATCTAAAGCCGCTTCTGCATGAGTTCGATTCCCGCCCCGGAGGTGACCGCATGGTGTGGCAGACCTCTCCTGACCTGCCCGCTGCTTCCCTCAGCAGTGTACTTCGTCGATCTGTCTGTTCTGCTCCCCACTCTGTCTCTGGTGAAGCCTCTCCCCGCCCCTGAGCCTCTGGCCTGTACCCCAGTTCTGTATGCACAAATAAATAAATCTTTAAAAAAAAATGTCAGTATAGATCTTTATGCTTTGACTGGTCACATCTATTGAAAATAACACCAAAAGAAGTCATTATATTACCTTTTCTCTCCATAATCAGTTACAGTATCCTTGATAGTATTCTTATAAAAAAAGAAATATTGGTCTCTCCCTGGTGGCGCAATGGTTTAAACACCACACTATGAACCTCTCAGAAGCCACTGCAGCACAAGTTTGATCCCCAGTCAGGGAGCTGACCCACATGGTGTGGCAGACCTCTCATAACCTGCCCGCTGCTCCCTTCAGCAGTCTATTTTCAGTAGATCTGCCTGTTCTGCTCCACTGTTTCTGGTGAACCTTTTCACCCACCACATCTCTGGCCTGAACCCCAGTTCTTTAAGCATAAATAAATAAATCTTTTTTAAAAAAATAAAAATAAGAGATGCTGTTACTAATCTGTTTTATCCACAAATTTTATTTTACTTTATTTATTAACTCACATCTTCATTATGTACACACACTTGGGATAAGTAAAATACATATGTCAAAAAAATCTGTATGCCGAAAAAAGCATGCAAGTGCCATCTCAATTTCTATGAGGGTGCTTTAAAATTTTTTCAATCAGGACATTTTAAAACCAAGTTCTACATTTATAGAAGGTCATAAAGCACAAGGACATTCACTGACTTGGCCAGGAGCATTTAGCAGAGTCAAGATTGGTATCTGGTCATCAAATTCTAATTAAGTATACTTTTCATCATATTGTGTCTTTTTAAATTTCAGACTGAAAATCATTAAAGTGATTGAAGCTTTCCCTTGAATAAATTATTTTAAATTGCTAGGAGCCTGTATTCTAGAGTCTACAAATGAATTACATGGATTAAACATAAAATGATAAATTTCCTTTTCTAAATCTTCAGTTTTTAGAAATAGTTAATTATCTATCATGCCAAATACAGTCAACTCAGTTACTCATGACTCCTAAAAGATTATCTACTTTAAAGATTAATTGCAATACATTTTAAGATCCTACACTTGATTCCCCCAAATACCCAACACTTACAAAGGGATTTTGCACATCTCAGTCATCAAAAGTTCTTTAGAAAGTGAAAAGAATTTTAAATATTATTCTAAAATCATAAAATAAGTTTAGTATGTCTATAGAGATATATGACAAATCCTAAAACAAAGATTCTGATATTGCTCATGCTACTGATAGGCTATATTAATCCCCATAATAAATAACCAGTGTTTTGGGAGGTACCTTCATTTCCTTACTTATGCATTTCATTTTAACTATTCTTTGTCACAAACCAACTTGGCACAAAAGATGCTAAAAAGGTACATTCATAATGTGAGATATGAACAGTGTACCAGGAGATTATAGGAAGGTAAGCAGATATGACCTCAACCTTTCAAGATGGGAAAATTTAAAATAAATGGAAAAGAGCATGAATCACAAGAAGATGGAAATGAATATTTCTCTTATAGTAGAAACTTAGGCCACATTATTGAGAATTTAAAGACTAAGATAAGAAATAGAATTTTCCATGTTCACCCTACCAGAGAGAGTGATATTCCTGAGACTTCATTCCTAATCCTAAATTTCCATCTTTTAAGAAGTTTTCAACTCTTTTAATTTAGTAACATTTTTTTTTGAAGCATTAGTTGCTCTCGTTCAAGTTTTATAAAACAAGAACTCACATTCAACTTAGATAAGGGTGAAGCCTGAGGCAATTTATGAAAGGGAAAGATGCAAAAATATGGATATCTAGAACCTGAAAGTTCTGATTTAAGAATTTAATTATTCAGTAAAATTCATCAGGAAAGGCTTTAAGGAACAAATGGTTTCAATAGATTGCAAACTAGGCTAAGGGTTATTTGATCCAAATCTACTAACCCCTAGTCATACTACTTTTAACTAATCCCTAAAGCAACTATCTCATCAATTATTTCAGCTCTTTAAATTCTTACAGGGATAGTTCATACATTTTCAAATAACATTTATTAGCAGGAATAGTTAATTGAATTGAACCTCCTTGTCCAATCCCTTTAAAAAAAAAAAAAAAGCCAAGGTACTATGTGGCTTGGTGTTCATCTTCATCCATGGACTTAACAGTCTTAATAAAAGGGTCAGATGACAGTGCTGGCTTATTCAGTTGTGTAAAATTTAGTTTCCAGTTTGGGGAGTACAGCAGATACATTGAGGATTTCATGAGGTTTCCTATCGTCCAGAAATCAGAATAAAGATTGGAAGGTTTATGTATCAGGTGCAACAAGGAAATGCCATCTTTCTCATCTCTTAACCTAAGAGAGCTCAACTCACACCAAATAATTTCTGTCACTTAAGGGAAAACAATACCACAACTGACGGGAACTTTCTCCTCTCCTAACTGTCAGGGGTTGTGGGTTTAACAGAACCGAAGGAGAGCAGGATTCCCTGGCCTAGCTTTGCTCTCAGGCTGGTGGTGGTGAGCATCAGCCAAGATTTGATGGGTATACTATGGCACCAGTAGGCACCTCCCTTGCCCATCAACCTGCCAAGACCCTACTGAAGCCCGCCCGGGTTTTGGTCCTGCTTCCCACCCACCCCGCCTGCTCTAATCAAGAACCTGCTATCCTCATCCACCCTCGCCAAAGCCTGGGTGTCCAGCAGGGAGTGGATCAGCGGAAGGAACCCTATGTCCCAAGCTCGAGCTTGAAACCCCTTCCCACGCGTGCCCGCCCACTGTGCGGCCCCAGCCCCAGCCCCCGTCACTGCCCGGTAAGAGCAAGCGACGACCAGAGCCTTATCTCAAGACCCGTTCCACCCTCCCGCCGTGGGGTTCCGCACTCCCCAGGAAGCCACTGGCCTTACCTAGCAGGTTCTCTGCGCGCAAGACTCCGCCCGCTGAATGCACACAGCGCACAGACTGGTCCCTCCAGCTCTCGGCCCGAGGCTTTGCAATGTTACCTCTGCCCACCGCGGGCTCCCGCCTTCTCGCTGCCATGGCAACAGCCCCCGCCCCTGGGCATCCGCTAATTGGTCCGGCCGGCATCGCAGAAGGCGCAGATTGGCGGTGGGGGACACCAGGCCGCTCCCACACTCTGGGTGGAGGGCGGCGGGGAGCACCGACGCGTCGAAGCCCGGGGGCGGCTGAGCCAAGAGGGACGTGGCGCTCTGCGACGCGGACTGGAAAGCCGCGCCCCTTCCTTTTCTGGTTTTCTGGGAGAATCCTGTGGAGCAGGACTTGGGCCGGTGAGGTGCTGTTTCCAACCGAGACAAAGTCCTATGGCTCGCCTGCCTGTTTGGCGGCTGGCCCGCGCTGGCAGCTCTTAAGAGTGGTCAGAGTCAAGCTCTTGAGACCATTCTCACCCACAGGCCGCGTTCAGGTCTAACACTCCGAGCCTTCTGCACAGGGGGATCTTACTCTAAATTTAACTCACCCAGCCCAGTGAAACTGCTTGCTCGGTTACTGAGATCTGGTGGCTGCTTGCTCTTCCTTCTCTCACACCCATCCGCGGACTCGTCTCCTTTGTCTACACCCGCTTCTCCTAGAATTGAGACATTGCCTCCAAATCCCTCATTTTAAAAATGGGGAAACTGAGTCTCAACGCTGCCTGTGGCTCAGGGCTTAAAGAAGTTTGGGGAGGCTCCATTGAGGCTGGTTTTGAAGCTTCAGTCTGCCATGTTGTGCTACCTCCTTTGTAACAAGTTAATAGAAGTGACTGGCACAGATGAAGTGACTGGCACAGAGGAGTAAGTGCTTAGTAAATATTAGCCGTGCTCATGTTAGGGGCCGAGCTAGGATTATAATTCCGGTCTCTGGATTCCAAGACCGGCGATTTTTACTCTTCACCGCCTCTCAGCTGCATACCTAGAACGTGGCCTCCAGGTTAAACTCCTTTTTAAGGTTCAGGAGTCAACACTTGACAATTTTCTTTAAATCAGGACCTCAAAACTAGTTCCTTGATTATTAAATTCCTAGAATGTTGTAACTGCCTCTATTGAAGGCTTAAAACAGAAGCAAATATGAGGAAAATAATTATATTCGGTTCTGATGCAGAGATCAAAGGGGAAACACACTAGAGAAAGACAGGCTATTTAAGAAGTCTTGTTGTAAGGGCACTAACTTTCAATTTGAAAATACGTGAGAAATATTACTTGGGTATTGACTATATATCATTAATAACCAATGTTAGTGTCAAATCAGGAGACAGCACTATATCCCAACACTAAAAAACATTGAACAGTTAATGCATTAAAAGCAGGAAGTGTCAATCATATGTTTATTACCTGTTACCTAGCACAGGGCCAAACCCATCATGCCTGATCCACACACTAAAATTGGGGGGGTAGACCTTTTAAAAAAAGACCCTGAAAGATCTACCAAGATTAGGTAATCAAGTGGAGATGAAGAACACAAAGTGAAAAGACTGGATTAGGCTAGCAATACAATGAAAAGGAAAAGAATAACTAGCCTAGTGACTGAGATGCTGGCATTATTCCCAGCAATATTCTGGAGTGGAGGGAAAATGGAAGACAGGCAAATATATTAAAAGCCAGGATTAGGAGAAAGAGCTAGGGAAAACATCTCAGGATGTCATGTGCATTTACAATAGTATCTCCTATGCTAATAAAGATTGCTCTGTGATAAAGGAAAAAAGGAATGTTGTTCATAAGCCCTAGAAACATCTTGCGATTTGAGGAACTTAAAAGGAAATATTACTTTACTTTATTACTACATTGTGGGGGGAGGGGGGTCTGGTAGGGAATAAGACTTGGAGTAAGGGTCCCAGCCATGCCCTGGATTAAAAGCCCAGCTCCACCTGTATTGGTAGAATGTCCCTCCCATAGCTTAGCTTCCCATCTTTAAAATGGAGGCAGTAATAATTTCCCCCTCATAGAGTTATGAGGATTAAGTGAGTTTATAGCTGTAAAGCAGAGCACACAGAAAGCCTAGCACACAGAAAGTGGTATATGAATGTCTGATAATATGGTGGTTTGTTTCTCTGACTGTAACCTGGGATCATAACATTGAACTTACTAGGAGTATTTAAATGATGTAGTAAAGTGCTTGAGATGCAGATGGTCAGTAGATATTTCTATTCCTGTCCATCTTTCCCTGCCTTACCCTGTTGCCTTTGAATTCCTCTCTGATTCCACTGAAATCAAAGGGCTATTGCTCATCCTGGTCTAAACAAAGATAAAATATCTTTGATTCCCCTTGTCTCAGCTAAGACTGCTTAGAATGAGTTTACTGGAGCCAAGGGGGGCGGGGGAGTAACAAACAGAAAGGAAACAATTCCAGAGAATACATTGATGTTATGTCTGCCCCCAAATTATGTCTCTTGATACTCCGGGGAGAAAAATATGTAATCAAGGAGATTGACATTTTTAATACTTAAATGCTTCCCCTTTTCACTTCTAGGATCTCACAGAACAGCACCTGGTCTTTTTTGTCATTTTTGTCTTCAGAAAAATAGTCTCAAGATCTAATAAATAGTAAGAAACAAAGAACTCAGCAGTAAATTCTCTGGATCAACTTGATCCCATTAGTTTTTATTCCTTTTTTTCAAAAATTTATTTTTATTTACTTATGCATACAAGAGCTGAGATGCAGGCCAGAGGTGTGGGAGCCAGGGGGGTGAGAGGATTCACCAGAGACAGAGTGGGGAGCAAAACAGGCAGACTGAAATACATATGCTGTGGGTGGGTCAGGAGAGGTCACTGTGCCTTGTAGGTTAGCACCCTGGCCAGGTATCAAACTGCTGCAGTGGCTGTCAATAGCTTCATAATGCTGAGACTTATGCCACCAGGAAGATCCTAGTTTTTATTATTCACTTTCTTTCATTTCTTCTCTCAATATGTAGCTCAATTTCTCTTCAACAGTAAAATAAGTTCCACACAAACACCAGTTCTCACACCCTTCTTTCCCTCTTTTGCTCTTCCTGACAAAAACCCAGCCCTAGATGAACCCATTTATATGTCTTTCTTGTCTGTAGCTCTATGCTGGAGAAAAAACGTTGTTAGACTCGTATATCTAGTACAGCTTCTTAACAGCAGTACTATTGGAATTTGGAGCCAAATCTGTTTGGAGTGAGAGGGAGCTGTCTTGTGCATTATAAGAGGTTAGCCGCATCCCTGATTGAACATACTACATGACAGTAACACTTAACCTGTTATGTCAACCAAAAATATCTCCAGACATTGCAGATATTCACTGAGAAATAAAAGTTTCCTTAGTTGAGAAGCACTGGTTTAAAGCAACAGAATCTAATTCCAGTTATCTTAATGAAAAAAAAGAGGAGTATTTTATTGAGAGATAATGAAGTAATTCATAGATTGAGTAGGCTAAGACTTCGAGGGGCAGGATATTTCAGGTCTTCTTTCTAGATGCGATAATTATCTCCTCTGTCTTTGGGTATTCCTAATCAAGTTCCAATTTCTCAGAAGAGCTGAAGAGCTGAAGTCCACTTTAGGTCAGCTCTTGTGGCTTGAGGAGTAGAGTCTATACTAGAATGAAACTAGGTAAAGATAGTCAGTAGTAAGGAAGGAATAGCCAACCCATACTCTGTAATTGAATTCAGCTAAAGTGGCTTAAAATCTGACTCTGAGGGTTTCAATAAATCGGAGTTTCTTTTTCTATAATGAAAGTAAGTGTGAGGCAGGCGATTGTTGGCACTGGTTCAGCTGCTAAATAATGTCATCATAGTCTCTTTCCTTTTCTCAGCTCTGGGTTTTCATTGTCAAGCTCACGAAGGTTGAAAGATGGCTATCAGGCTTCCTGACATCATGACAACATTTAAAGGTAAGGAAAACAGAGTGGGGGGGGACAGGAAAAGCGCCTTTTCTGTGATAAGTTTCCTCTCCTTTAATCAGCAGAGGAAAAACTTTCACAGAAACCTCAGCAAGCAACTCTTAAGTCCCATTGACCAGAAATAGGTGATAGGGGCAGTCTCTTAACTGCAATTTATGATGAAAAAGTTAGTGTCTGCCAGAAGGGGATGTCGTAGGTGTGATTGGTTTAGATTGCTCACTCTTACTCCCCTGGCTATGGCCCCGTTGCCAACACGGTTGAAGTTTTGTTAGCAGGAGAATAGGATCTAAGCTGTTAGTTAAGCAATATTGTAGCATCTCCCAGGCCTTCCCAATATCAGACCTGGCCATCTAATGATTTTATAACCATTTTCTCTTTCTTCCATTCTGTAACAAGAAACAATCCCTTTAACTATACTCTGAATCCTGTTTCCCTTTCCTCAGTTCTCAAGGACTTTGTTTAGTTATTCCCTTTCTTTACTATATCATCCACCTTCCCTAGCTATAGGATCATACCTAGGCATACAAACATGCTCTAGGAGTCTTTTCCATCTTTACAACTCCTTTTTAAATGATGAGATAAAGCAAAGACAGTGAAAGTTTAATTACAGAATTTAGTGCTATTTACCATAAAATTCTTTCAACTTCTCTATGTTTAAAACTTTCATAATACAATATTTAAAATTAAAGTCCTTTTCTTGACCCCAAATCACCATCCAACTTGTTTCTCTGCTGATTGTTTGTTCAAATTCCTTTTAAAAGTGTCTTTCTCCATTTGCTCCCCTCCCTTTTAATCTCAATTTATGCCAACCAGGTATCCATCTCCACTGCTTTAATCAGAATGCTCTCAGTAAGCTCACCTTTGAATGGACACTTTTATTTTTAATTTTTTAAGGATTTATTTATAGATGCATACAAGAACTAGGGTACAGGCCAGACATATGGGTGGTGAGAGGATTTACCAGAGATAGAGTGGGGAGCAGAACAGGCAGATCCATGAAGTAAGTACACTGCTGAGGGGAGCAGTGGATGAGTCAGGAGAGGTCTGCTGTGCCATGTGGGTCACCTCCGGGGCTGGGGTTCAAACTCATATTAAAGCGGCTGCAGCTACCTTGCAGTGCTGCCTTTAACCTGCTGCGCCACCAGGGAGGACCTTCAATTTTCTTTTAAAAATATATTTATTTGGCCCTCCCTGGTGGCGCAGCGGGTTAAAGCACAGAACTGAGAA